TCAATCTTTACTCATAAAGAGATGTCATTCCTGTAGGTGGTCATACATTTATAGAAATCCAACCTGACATTATGGTACTAAAAATGACATATTTGATTCTCTTTATCTATGCCTGCAAAACAAAACAGCAAAGGAGGGGGGTGGGGGGGGTGTAGGGGTGTAGTAACACTGCTCTCAAGCCAAAAGCACGTGCAGGGAGAGGAGTGAATGACAATGCCGATGACATGTCCATAATGCCCCACAGGCAACTGGAGGGGCCAACAGTTAAAAGATGGAGCTGTCATAGCATTTTGTTTAACTGCAAAACGCCAACAAGCGTCACTTTGCCACTTCTCAAGATGAGAGGAAACACGTAATATCTTTGGCATCGCTCACAAAGTTATCCTATTTCTGTATAGGTAACGCTTTATTCAGAAAGGAACACTGTGATTGCGAATGAATCTGCGAGGCGCCGTGTGGTTGGTTGGTTTGGAATACTGGAATCTGACAACAGAGCTTCAACAGCTTCAGATTTAGTTCTAGAAAACATAAACACAGCATCAAGTCCAACATTAAAGTGTAGTGCACCGTGCAGCATTCATCAATAGGCTACAAGAAATAAACGACAGTTGATCATTTATTTCAATAAGATCTTTGTCTAGCTGTTGGTTGGCAAAGTCTAACCTTTTCTGTTGCTGCCACCTACTGTCTGCTACACATAGGTCAACTTTTGCACAAAAGAGACATATGATTTCAAGGAATATGTTGGTAGGTTTCTCGTCCAATGTCCTTAGCTGGACTAAGTTTCAGCCTCCTAGTGACCCTACAAGGAATGAATTCATTAATGGAAAATAAATTAATTAATGAATGTTCGCAAGTTGTGTTAACTAATAAAAGAGTTGCTTACAAAGGTACATGTTTAGGTGCATTACAGGTAAAAGCCAGTAAATTAGAATATTTTGAAAAAACTTGATTTTTTTCAGTAATTGCATTCAAAAGGTGTAACTTGTACATTATATTTATTCATTGCACACAGACTGATGCATTAAAATGTTTATTTCATTTAATTTTGATGATTTGAAGTGGCAACAAATGATAATCCAAAATTCCGTGTGTCACAAAATTAGAATATTGTGTAAGGGTTAAATTTTGAAGACACCTGGTGCCACAAACTAATCAGCTGATTAACTCAAAACACCTGCAAAGGGCTTTAAATGGTTTCTCAGTCCAGTTCTGAAGCCTACACAAACATGGGGAAGACTTCAGATTTGACAGCTGTCCAAAAGACACAAAAGGTTATTGCTGAAGAGGCTGGCTGTTCTCAGAGCTCTGTGTCCAAACACATTAATAGAGAGGCAAAGGGAAGGGAAAAAAGTGGTCAGAAAAAGTGTACAAGCGATAGGGATCACCGCGCCCTAGTCAAGATTGTGAAAAAAAACCCATTCAAAAATGTGGGGGAGATTCACAAGGAGTGGACAGCTGCTGGAGTCAGTGCTTCAATATCCACCACCAAGAGACGCTTGAAAGACATGGGTTTCAACTGCCGCATACCTCGTGTCAAGCCACTGTTGACCAAGAAACAGCGCGAAAAGCGTCTCACCTGGGCTAAGGAAAAAAAGAGCTGGACTGCTGCTGAGTGGTCCAAAGTCATGTTTTCTGAGGAAAGCAAATTTGGCATTTCCTTTGGAAATCGAGGTCCCAGAGTCTGGAGGAAGACAGGAGAGGCACAGGATCCACGTTGCCTGAAGTCTAGTGTAAAGTCTCCACCATCAGTGATGGTTTGGAGTGCCATGTCATCTGCTGGTGTCGGTCCACTCTGTTTCCTGAGATCCAGGGACAACGCAGCCGTCTACCAGCAAGTTTTAGAGCACTTCATGCTTCCTGCTGCTGACCTGCTCTATGGAGATGGAGATTTCAGGTTCCAACAGGACTTGGCGCCTGCAAACAGTGCAAAATCTACCCGTGCCTGGTTTAAGGACCATGGTATTTCTGTTCTAAATTGGCCAGCCAACTCCCCTGACCTTAGCCCCATAGAAAATCTGTGGGGTATTGTGAAAAGGAAGATGCAGAATACCAGACCCCAAAACGCAGAAGAGTTGAAGGCCACTATCAGAGCAACCTAGGCTCTCATAACACCTGGGCAGTGCCAGAAACTCATCGACTCCATGCCTCGCCGCATTAATGCAGTAATTGAGGCAAAAGGAGCTCCAACCAAGTATTGAGTATTGTACATGCTCATATTTTTCATTTTCATACTTTTCAGTTGCCCAACATTTCTAAAAAAAATTCCTTTTTTGTATTGGCCTTAAGTAATATTCTAATTTTGTGACACACGGAATTTTGGATTTTCATTTGTTGCCACTTCAAATCATCAAAATTAAATGAAATAAACATTTGAATGCATCAGTCTGTGTGCAATGAATAAATATAATGTACAAGTAACACCTTTTGAATGCAATTACTGAAATAAATCAAGTTTTTCAAAATATTCTAATTTACTGGCTTTTACCTGTATATGTGAGCTTTAGAGGAGCATAAAAGAAAAAAGACAATTGTATTATTGCTTAAAGAAATGTATTAATATTTAAATACAAAATGAAAGGTCAGTTTACGATTAATTGTAAATTTAGATAATAGATAAAGCTAGACGAAGTGTTATGTTCCATACCTTTTTGGGAGTTTCTCCTTTCAATTTGTTTGTTTTGTCAGATAATTTTGTCTAATTTGGTCTGAGCTAGTTCCAAATGGAAGTTTTTCTTGTGTGCTTTTCAAAGCAATTCTTCGCAAACGCCTGCATAGCAGAGCAGGTTTTGTGTTCTTTTTTTCTTCTCCTTTCCAGTTGTGGTTTGCGTTGTAACTTTCTCTCCTGTGCTTTTCCACAGGATGTTTTTTTTTGCTTTGTGCTTGTATTCCATCCACAATGATCTTTGGTGGTTGCTTTTGGAGAATCTCTTTGTTTGATTGTTATCCTGCTTTTGTGCTGCCATTTATCTTCTTCTAATAGAGTGAAGACATATTTTGACTTAAAGATGGGACTAACATAAAAAAAGTTGAATATGTCAAAAAAGAAACATGCACTGTACGCTTGATGGTGATGGTTCTACCAACCGCCCCCTTTTGAAAATAGATCTTTAATAATAGTAAGTTGTTGCTTCTTTGTGACATTGGTTGTGGTACCTTACTGTCCAGAGGGAGCTCACTGCATATAGATTATGGGCACCAATAAGATTGTGGATGATTACAGCATCTGCAGTCAAATTAGCCTCCAGCCCTTCTTTGACCTTAGAAATAAATCAGTAGACGTACATGTGATATATTATGCATTATATGTTTATATAAACGTCTGTCTGTCTGTCTGTCTGTCTGTCTGTCTGTCTGTCTACACTACTAATATTTCAAGTTTCCTTAGGTTTAGATTGTAAGCCTTTTTTTTTGTTTAAGTCAGTCTAAATTACTGGTTATATTTGACTAGATGCAAGAAGAGGTGGAGCGTGAAGCCAAAGAAGAAACTTGGTGAATGACTGTCCTTTCTGAGTGGCATCTGTACATTTTGATATTTAGTTTTAATATATGGCTGTTGAAGATAACATAAATATTTAATAGATGTTGTCATTAGCTATGAAAATCAACCTTTTAATCATAATTATATTATTTAGAAAAAAAATAACATTGGAATTTATAATAATCAATATTTAGTACCCAGAGCAGCTTTCCAATGTTATCTTCTTTGCATTTACTGTCTACGTAAATGATAAATGAGGAGTTATCTAACAGAGCTCCTGCATTTGGGACATGATGGGTTGAAGCAATTCTATCTTCCCACAACAGGGGGCAATGTCCTAACAAAGTTAATTTTGCTTTGTGCTATGAAATAACACATGGAAAAGTAGAAATTATAACATTTCATCACAAAGACAAAGATACACAATAAAACTTACTATGCAAATAATATAAATAAAAGAAAGAAAAGATAAGTATTAAAATGTGTTTGGTCACTGGATGAAACTATAAAAATGAATTCAATTATATTGAATTCAGCTCTCCTTTTTTGGATTAGAGACGTTGCTTTTAACATGGGCTCACTCTAAGTTTATTTTCTACTTTTTTTAAAGAATTTAAATTTTGGAGGGAAAAATAGACCATTAGTTTAAAATGCTTATGTTGCGCTCGATGAATAGTTATCTTTTTTCTGACATTGATTTATACCATAGAGTTATTTCATATCATCTTTTGTTTCCCCCAAACCCATGCAGTGCAATGGCAGCCACTATAGATTAAATAATAAGCAGTCTGTTGATAAGCATTTACACATTTAAAAAAAATAAATTACACATTCTACATCATTTTCATGGCACCAAAATGCAACGCCAATCGAGTTAAATGACTGATTTGTCTAAATACCTCTGATATAACATAAAAACAATAAACTTTGTTTAAAAAGGATACCAGATATTGTTTTAGTGGCAACTTGTATAGCTAGAAAACAGTAGATTTCCCAAAGCCTTGTTGAATCCAGCAGGACAGCAGGCAGCAGGTGCTGTTGTGCGGCAGCCGTCATCTAGTAAAGTTTGGGATTGTGTTCACCGTTAGACCAATAGTGACAACGGATCAGACTTTGACAGCCAATCAGAATCCAGTTTTAAATTGTGGGCGTTTTTCTCAAACGAGTGCGGCGGTGCTATGCATCCTCCCGGGCCGGGAAGAGTTCGGTTGAGAGAGTGCTGGATGGTGGGGGAGTACCACTGATGAGAGAGCAGGCGAAAGAAGGGACCATTTTTACCACGCATTGAAGGACTATTGCGTCTACTTACTGGAAACTGAAAAAACACCAGGGCAGAGTTAATTCGTGTATTGCTTGCGGCAAGTCCAGGTGAGAAGCCCGGGTCGGGAATACATTTTAAGGGGATGTGGCGATTAGCAACAATGCCGTTAACGTTAGCTAGCGGATTATTGTGCCATGACTTTTTAATGATGGAGGACCATAATTTCTATTGCCAGACGGTGCCGGGGAGCCACTTTGTTATTTCAACGTTTCGAGTGCAATGTTTTAACTATTATACGAGCTTCAGGTGGAAGTTTAATCTTCGCCCAGCCTGTTTGAGACGTCGTGACCACTGTCTCACTGCCTTTATCCTCAGCCACACGTCTCTGAGCCTCCACACCCACGGTTAGATTTGTCCGACGAGGCTGCACATTTCCCCTCTAGAATGCCTTTTTCTATTTGGAAATATTCTATTACGGGGTCTTTGTGGACCATACGTGGTCGCTTTATGTCTAAAAAGCACGAGAAGGAGCGCGCGGTCGCACTTAAGTTGTTGCCTTCATCCAAAGGAGCAGTGTGGAGGCTGCGGCACGACACGCCAACTTTGAGCTAACGTTAGCAGGCTAAAGTAGCCCATGCAGCTGTTTGGCCCGGGCAGAGGGCTAACATGACGATGGGCTTTCGCCGCGAATGTCGGTAACACGTTTTTTTTTCTCCCGCAACGACCTATCCCGGGGTGGAGGTCTGATAAACACAGTATATTACTGTGGGCGAAAGCTGAACGTGGCATGGAAGTGACTGAAGTGATGCGGTGACTCAACAGCCGGCAGCAATCAAGCTGATTCCTCATCTCGTGACCTGAGCGACCCATATTCACATCTAACCAACGCCTGCTTTAAACGTTGGGACTAGGTGGCTGGTCTTCAGCAGATGTAGTCATACACATAGAACAGGCCAACGGTGGAGGTTCTTTTTAGACAATTTTATCTTTGCCTACTATCTGAGTACCATTCCTGTATCAGCTGTTAAGACAAGTAAAACTAGTGCCTGTTTTCAAAGAAGCCAACATGCTCTGCCTGGTTTCAGCAAACCTTTGAGAAATTAATGCATCAGACAAAAACAATGTCTTCAGTTGATAAATATACTAAGCATGCATTAGTCATTTTCAGAATAAGAAAGAAGCCGTTATAAAAAACTCATTACTTCCATTAACATGTTGAGATCCTCAAATTTGAATAAAAAAAAACTATCATATTAATTTGATCCTTTTTCCTTTTCTTTAATATATTCCCGCTTCAAAAATATTTCAGCGGACAAAAAAACACTCACTGTTTATGTTTAATATAAAAAAAATTTGCCTCCACTTGTCAAAGTCTTTCAGTGAAGTTATTTGCTACATTCCCTAGTTAGAATGTAGATGCATAAAACAAGTTGATGTAATAAACTAGACAAAATGTTTTCATTGCGAAAACAATTCATAATGCAATAATCCTAATTATATCGAATTCAGCTCTCCATCTGAAAAGAAAAGTTGCTCTTAACAAGGGCTCACTCTAAGTTTATTTTCCACTTTTTTTTGTTGAAATTTTGGGGTAGGAGAATTAATTTGAAATGCTAATGTTGCACTTGGATCATATTTATCTGTTTGTCTGACATTGATTTATACCACATGACAGTTATGTCATTCTTTTTTCCAAACCCATTGCAGTGTAATGCCAGCCACTATAGATAATATGATCAACTGTCAGTTGAACGTAAGCATTTGCATTTTTTTTATTTTTAATTTAGACTTTCCAAATTTTATCTGTAAATTATCTGTAATTTTAGCTGTAATTTTTGTTCTGTTCTGTTCTGTTAGTACAAATGACTTTTCAAATCACAATTATGTGAATGAAAAAAATATTTCAACTTTGTTTTTTTTTTTTAAGAATCACATTGAGAGCAGCTTTCCTGTCTTATATAAGCTTACACTCTACAACTTTCATCTATGTAGGACTTGTCTTAACTGGACCTGTTAACATTACCTTCCAGTTATGACAGATATTTCAGGTTTCAAACAAATTCACCAATGAATTAACGTTATTTCTTTAAGCTGTTAATTACTGGCGTTCCCCCAAATACCTGTTGAAATGTTCAAGTTACTTTAAGTTTGAGACAAGCTGACATTTTGGAACAGAACAGATTTTTACAATCTCAAGCATCTCCGGACACGAATTATTTTCACAAAACTGCTTTAATTAGAATAAAAAAAGTTTGTGAAATATAGGGAAGTATGTCCTGTCTTTAGTAACCATTTACACTTATCTTTTGTGTGGCATTACCTGGTGAATTGCAGTGGACGTTAAAAAAAGTAAATATAGGATAGACTTTTACACATGATTCAGAAATGTAAGTGAAATGAAATGTGGCATAATGCACACAAAGCGCTTGTACTGCAAGGAATATCTGATTGAACTTTTCCCGACTCAGTTTTAAGATGTTGTGCGTGCTGTGACACCGTCAAAAATAATACACATCTTTTAGTTGAATGTCTGCTGTGAATTATGGCCTTTTAAGAGCGTCTTTACACAACTCTGATTGATTCAAGTGAAAATTGTGCTTTTCTGTCCTCACTGCAGTAGCCTGGAGTGCTTTGCTTCTGGTCTCCAGCAGCGATGTCACAGAGGAGTGGGCAGGAGGACCCCGAGCGGTACCTGTTTGTGGACCGGGCTGTCGTGTACAACCCGGCAGCACAGGCAGACTGGACCGCCAAGAGGCTTGTCTGGATCCCCTCGGAGCGGCACGGCTTTGAGGCCGCGAGCGTCCGCGAAGAGCGAGGAGATGAAGTGGTGCTGGAGCTCGCGGAGAACGGGAAGAAAGCGGTGGTCAACAAGGACGACATCCAGAAGATGAATCCGCCCAAGTTCACCAAGGTGGAAGACATGGCTGAACTTACCTGCTTGAACGAGGCGTCTGTGCTTCATAATCTCAAAGACCGATACTACTCCGGCCTCATTTATGTAAGTATACCGAAGAAATATTATAATCAGTCAAGAAAAGATGCGGGCGTCTGATGAAAGTTTTTTTTTTTCATATACCAATGCTGTAATTTACCACTTTTATATCGTAAGAGCTTATGTAATCAGTGGCAGTGCAACATCCAAGCCCCACAGAGAGATGTTTTATGGCTGCATTAAACCTCAGCTGGGATGGGGTCAGCTTCCCATCACTCTCTACAGGAAAAAAAATGGACATCAATTATACATAGATGAGTGGATTATATCATTATTCTAATGGTGCACATGAATCGCTCTGTCACCTGAAACCAGTAGGCTTTCTAGGTGCGTCCATGTAGAGGTTTGCTGGTGGAATTGAGGTGGACAGGTCCTGGAACTAACCCAGAAGTTTGGATCTTGTTGTAGTTGCTCAGGAGAGGGTGACCTTGATTGCTACCTTTTGCTACTCCAACCCAAAAAATAAACTCAGAAAATGTAAAGTGGCTGGATAAAGTTAAAGATCATGGAAGATACACTCGACTTGACAGGTGTGGTTTTTATCTTTGCATTGTATATGACCTTACAGAAAATGTTAAACATTTTCAAATACTTTATGGATTAAAACAAATGTTATTTTCTGATTCTGTCTGGCATGGTTTTCAAAAGGTTTGTTAAAAGCCAAAAAGAAGCAGAAATATTCATTTTACAAATCTCATCAAACTCCTTTTCAAATTGATGTTGCTTGTGATGTTCAAGAGCAAGATGCCAGTTTTATGTTGATAGGTTTTGGTTTGAAATTCTAAACCGGGTTCAGGTTCAGTATCAGTTAGTTTACATGCATTATGGATCACAGAAACATGGACACCTATCTGACCAGATGCATCTACATCGCTGCATGTGTCTGTTTCAAATTGGCATGTTATCAGTCCATAGCCTGTTTTATTTGCTTGTATGGCCATCGCTGAGCGGCATCTTGACTGTTCTACTTTCTTTCTGAGGCAGTGTTAGGGACCATGTATAACCATCGACATCTCTGAAAAAGATTTATAGGACTGTAGTGCATTAGTGAAAATACCCTGATTAAAACAATCTCAGTTCCTTGTGTGCACCAAAGTCAAAGCAGAAGCAGGTCATAGCTCTGGAAAATAGGCAGTCAGATGTGCCTGAGCAGCTGGCTAGCACACGCATGCATACAGTTACCTACTCGATTGCAAAACTTCAAATTTGACAATGCCATAAGGTGTCTAGAACAGCGTTTCCCAACCTTGTTACCCTGGTCCTCAAGCCACACTGCCCTAAATCTCTCTTTCAAGTTTCCTGGTCCAGCACTCCCATTTCAAATGAGTGGGTCTTTATCAGACCTTTTCAGAATGTATATAGTTTGAGGGTCTGTCCCTGAATCAGTTGTGCTTGAGCAGGGAAACGTGGAAAACACGCAGGGCAATGCGCCTTGAGGAGCAGAATTGGGAAACACTGCTCTATAATGTGTTACATGAGTCTTTTTATTTCTAAGGTCGCTTGTTTTTCTTAGATGACTTTCTATTAATCCATTACAGAGTAAACTTGATGTAGTTATCTCGGTTTATATCCGTGCGTTCTTAGCATTTGTCTATAGATTCTACAGACTAAGATGCAGGTTTCCTTGAATGAAAAAGTCATCATGTTCCATATAATCTACTGATATCCCCCCCTGTGATTATGACCCTCTGCATTCTTGGAATAGTCCAGATATGGAGCTCGTTCAGCCCAGCAAGAATGCATGTGCCATAGGCTTCACACTTAAGCGTATTTTTGCAAAGACAGAACCATGCTCTACATTATCTCCATGATATACACGCTGTATTTAAAACTATTTTTAAGGGGTAATAGTTGAGGTGTTCGGCTGCATAAACTGGTGTCCTGCCTAACCGTTGAAATGCATCTTTGGCTACTTTCTGAACGGGTTTGTGACATTTGAAAAGTTTGAATACATTCCCTTTAAAAAAAAAGTTTTTGGAAGTTATGTTGAATGAAAGGGTGTATTTGACACATTTGTTGATTAACCATGTTTAATTTATCACTATGCTGACCGGCCCGCATATAATTTTTGCAAAACTTTTTCCAAGTTCAGTTAAACGCTAATGAATTTTAATGAACAGTTATAGTATTATTCCATGGTTTAACAATAACAACTCATACAAATAATGAAAAGATTACCTCAAACTTGACAGAAAAAAGGAAAACTCACTCCCTTCTGTTCAATGAATCTGTCTTCTATCCCGTAAAAGCTTTCATACTAAAATTTGTACCAGAAAACATGGGTAATCTTTTTTTGTTGTCATGTCCACGGCTCTTTGTGTCATATGAGACTCATCAGTGTTGTCATAAAAGTAGTCCTTTCTTGTTGAGCTCAAATAAGGCCAAGAAAGGAGGACGTTTATACTTTTAGACGGCTTGTAATAAAGTAAGAACTCAGCCACATGTCTTTTTTTTTTTCGCAGGGAGGCCAGTGTTGAGTCATATGGGACCCAAACTGCCTTAACAGAGCTCTTTGTGTTCGCTGATAAGCAACATCTGTCTGCTCAAGTAACTGAATTCCTTCTCAGTTTCACTGCGAGGAGGCTGATGGCTAATCAGCAACTAATTTCCGTCAGCGCCCGTTTGGTTGTTGCCCTTCCACGAGATCACAGATTTAGGCTTTCGTTTGTGCCACATTATTAGATTTGAATCATTTTTCCCTTTTTTAAGTCAGAAAGAAAACATGCTTAGACGTATGCAGACCTATGCCGGCAGCAGCTTAAGCCTGTCTAATGAATTTTGGACCAGTATACAGTCTTGGTCATACTATGGCTAATAAGATATATTTTAATATTTAGAAAAGGAAACAGGATAGTTGATATGTCACTATAATCTTTTTTTTTTTGTCTAATTCATTTGTGTTTGATGAAGAAAATCAACAGGTTTCCCTCAGACTTGTGGACACAAAAAAGTAATCTCAGTAGATCTTAACAAAATTGCAACTTTGTCCACATTGACACGGGTCAGTGTGGAAAATGTTACCAGTGGACGCCCTAATCTTTCATGCATTTTTGCTCTTAAATCAGCATTTGGACAAGTAGCCAACTTCCTTAGCTTTTGGTGACGTATCACTTTATCACTTATATCATTATTACATTTATGAGAATAACATGGAGATTATATACATAGACCACAATGACAGATGTGTGTACCCATCTGCTGGGTACTAGAAGAATAGGCGTCTTAAACCCTGTTATTATCAGAAAGAGGTATATGAAGCAGTTTCCCGACCGTACTGTTCTGTTTTTATTTGACTTTCTAATATTTTATTGAGTTTTTAACATTCATGATTCTTCCTTATTTGTTAACATGTTTTACTTCGTTCTGTTGGCTTTTAAAGGGATTCTGACTGCTCAGAAAAATGTTTTTAGTGGCAGCTTTCAAAAGAAACCAAAAAAAAACATTTCTTCCAGATGATTCCACACAGTCCTCAGCTTCCCCTGGGGATGCCCTTAAAATAATCTTTAATGATTAACCTTAAGATATTAAAATCTAGGCCAAAGAACAGCGAAATAAAAGGACATATTTGTGTCAATACGCACATTCTTTTTTTTCTTTCTTTCTTTTGCCTTGCTATTACTTTTCAACCAATTGTCTAAAATAATTTGGGAAGTTCCCATTGAAGCCTAGTGTTTCTCCCCTTTCAGACTTAACTGTTTTCGCTCTTAAAAAAACACATTTCACTCTTTCGTGCCCTTATCTAAAATTCCCTTTTAAATGTTTTGCATCCAGGTTTTCAATACTTTACTTTTCTTTTATTTCATTGTTCAGTTTAAGTCATTAGACCCAAGAAGCATGAATTCCGGTCAAAGTAACTCCCCTTCAAACACGTTTAAGCAGTCAAAAGCCCTCAAGTGATGACAGGTTAGCCATTTTAATTAAGGGCTGTTGAGATTAAGAGCACTTTGAGATTTAAAACACGCAAATAAATCTTAAGTGTGTTCTGGCACAGATAGAAATGTTTTAGAATTGGGAAAATCATTTAATGAATTCTTGTTAAGAAAAAAACATGAGTATGAGGTGTGTCGCGTTTTACTCTGAATTGATAGAACCTTGATAGAAAGTAGGGCACCACCTTTAGAATGGAAGGAAAATATATGATGGGTCTCAAATTGCTACGATCACACTTGAATTGACTGAGTTACTCTAAAATGTGTTTTTCATATATATATATATATTGACTGTTAATATGAAATGAGTAATATATGATGCTTACAACAGTAACGGCACTTAATGGTAAGTTTCCCAAGAGTTGGACAGTATTGTACAGTCTTATGATTGGGCGGTACCCAGAAAATGGAGAAATATGTCCGGAAATATTATCTTTTCATAAGTGTGGCAATTGGGTGCAAAATGTCTGGTAAACTAGAAATCGTGGACAAGAAAACAGTTATTTATTTCAGTTTAACATTATTTTCAGTTCAAAATCTATTTTTAACCACAAGTTTATCACCTTCGAGGCCGACACAGGAGGATCTTGGTGTGGGATGTTCTTGGATGCGTCGCTTCATTCTGAGCGAGCTCTTCAGGTTCTCCTTTGGGGAAACGAGTTTTAGATGGTCCTCTCAAAGGCGCTTCCTCTTGGCTTTTAACTGTGGCTCTGTGGTGTTCTAAAAATGATTTTGTGCCAAAATTAATCAAGGTGTTTTCACTGGGTTTCACTAAATTAATTTCTGGTCTAGGTCTTCGTCGCTGTTTTTTCTGCAGTGAAAGAAATCTAAGGGCCGAGGTTAGCGCAATTAATAAAAACTTAATTCTGTACTGTTTACGTTTATGCATTTAGCGATGCTTTTATACAAAGCGACTTACAAAGTAGACTCATTGTTACAGTTATCAATTTGACAATAAGTTTTCTAGAGGAAAATCCCTAGTCAGAATCAGTGGTGACTGCAAAGAGATAGAGGAAGTGCACAAAGAGTAGTAGAGGGGGTATAGAGGTATGGGTAAGAGTTGTGATAGGAGATGCTCTTTGAAGAGGTGGGTCTGTAAGAGTTTCCTGAAGATGGACAGGGACGCTGCTGTTGTAGCGCTTGGTAGGTCATTCCACCATCTTGGAACAACACATGAAAACAGTCTGGATTGTCTTAAGCGTGGTGCAGGCAATGCTAGATGACAATCAATTGATGACCAGAGTGAGCGAGTTGTGACATAAGCCTTTGCAAAAGGCTTCAAGTAGATAGTTTACTGAACTGTTTTCCTTTCTTTTCATTCTTTTCCTTTTACTTGTGGCGGATACCAGATTCGAAGTTGAGCTTAGGGCGTGTGGAGGGATAGAAATTTAAGAAATATTCCTGATTTGTATTGCTTTTTTCCATACACCTTCACATAAGAGGGAAAAAAAACAGGTTTATTTGTTAAAGTGGGGCATATCGTCTTCACCTGGTTAAGACCATTTGATTGGTTGATTGGTTGGGGTACCACCAAGCAGTAGATGGCACTGTGGAACATTTCACCTTTTATCTCACCAGTTCTTTCTCAGACACGCAAAGGCACACATGGCCCAATATGACACCAAAACCATGCTTCACGGGTTCCCGACAACATTGAAGACATGGTTAAAGTATGTTACGTAAATTTCGAGTTTAGAAACTGACTCTGCGAAGCAGTTATTTTCTGTGGGACCGAAGGGGTCTACCGGATCGGTCTTTCATCACGGTCCTAGGGGGGAAGCTGTCACTTTTGATTTGCATTCAGTGATGGGGAATGCTTTTGGCCATCCTCTCTGGTACACTTTTCATGTCCACATCAAAGGGTAACTTCGTTTCAGTTGCTAGTCTAGACTAGTGTTAAACTTGCTTAATGTAACAAAAATGATTCCAAAGTTCCTGCCTTGGGGAGTTTAAACCCCCAAGGCTGGATTTTAATCCAAAGGAATGTGGATTGCTCTCCAAGCCTTCCTTTGGGGCCCCCTTGAGTATGCTACAGGTGTCTTGTTATGGCTGCTGTTCGACCCCTTACCCTCAGAGACAAAGCTAGCCCTTTCCCAAATACCCAGCTCCCCTGAGATTCAGCGTCAAGGACAGCCAGCCGATTGATCCCGACCCCGCTCCTTATTGTACACGCTGGGTCTGGATCACTGATCCGTCTGTTCGGCGCTGTGCCCCCTGCTTGTAGTCTGTTTGGGGTTATTACTGCAATTACCCAGAACCGCATTCTGTAAACTCAGGTCGGTGTTTGTGTCCACAAGCATTTAGGGTGTTGAAAGCATGCACCTTATGGAAGTCTTAGCCATCCATCCGTCCGTAACCGCTTATTCCCTAATGGGGTCACGGGGGGAACTGGAGCCTAACCCTGTAGTCAATGGGCGACTACTGGACAGTCCGCCAGTCCATCGCAGGGCAACACAGAGACACACAAGGACGAACAACTACACAACCGCTCACTCCTAAGGGCAATTTAAAATGTCTAATCAAACTCCACACAGAAATGCCCCGGTTCCCCCGGGGACTCGAACCCAGAACCCTCTTGCTGTCAGGCGCCCTGTCTCGGCAGTCCAACGTAATTTAAATTTTTAGTACTTTCCAAAGCAGCAAATCCACAGCCAGATAACAGTACAAGGCTGAGTCTGCAGCATCTGTGCACGGAAGAGGTGGGGAGGTGTGGGTTAATGGCCATCTGGTGACCCTCCATGCATCACATATGGGCTCCAGCGGGGGATCACCATCAGTGATACAGTTGGGCTCCTGTCAGTGTATGCAGCGCTCGGTGGTCAAGTATCATGAGCTTTGTTTCTTTATTTTGAGTAAACCCAACAGAAAATACAACCAAAGTTATTAGTCAAAACATTCAGTTGTTTATATTTCTAATGTTGTGGGCCCTCAACAGAAGCAGAAGTTTTTTAGGGTTGGAAAATTAGGGTAATTAATTCAGGCCACCAGCCACGATAACATCAGTAACAGGTCAGTTTGAAATGAAAGACACTAACCTGTCAAAATTAAGTTAAATTTTGGGGTCTTTGTTTTTATCCTTGTGGTATCGAAAATGGTATCGAGTATCGAGTATTTTCCTGAGTATCGGTCTCGAGTTGAAAATTTTAGTATCGTGACAACCCTACTTGGGACACTTGACATGGGTAGCATGACTTTGGCTATGTCAGGTTCCAGTTCAACATCTGGGTTAATGGGCCCTGGGCCACCGGCTGCCACAGACAACATAATTAAAGGAATGTGGTTGCGCAGACCCAGTCGAGCACATAAATCAGAAAGGCAAAAGAACCGAGGTAGGATTTCTGGTCTTTCTGTTTTATGCCCCAGAAATCAGCATTATGTGAGACTGGAAAGGACAGCAGGAAGAAGATGGAAAAGGAACAGAATATACTCGGACACTTTTTGTTTAATGTACATCCTGATTAAGTTTGGTGGATGAAACACGTTGTCGATCCAAAGTTAATGTGGCTGCCTGTAGTGTGTGCTGTGAAACCCATGAGCTGTGTTGACTTAATGTTTCAACAATAGCAGCTATGTTGGGGATTATCCCCTGGCCTGTTTGTCTGCATTATACAGCTACAGAATATGTATGCTGTTTTGTTTGGAAAATAACCCTTTATGCATCTGTTCCCTTTACAAAAGAACTGCCAATAGTCTGATGCAGAGAATAGAATTTTCACAATTGAGGAAGACATAAGGAATGAGGAATTTGGATATTAAAGTTGACATTATGCCAGCAACCTACACCGAATAGACATACAGAAATCCTTAAAATTCACCGTGATATTGTAAAATTGCAGGATATGACTTATCGAAACTGATTATATTTTGTTGTGAATACACATTTCTGGAAACCAGAACACTCTACTTTGCTTTACAAATCTGTGTGTATTAAAAAAAAGAAAACGAATCGTTTCATAACATATAACAATATTAAAACTGTCACCAAACCAGCCATTTAGCTTGCAACTAAAAGGATAGATGGCTTCCACAGTCCACAGTCCAGCCCAGGAATAGCAGTTTATGAATGTCCTAAAACATGCATAAGACGGAAAAAGAATCACAACCAACGGGGATTTACCACTATGCTTCCAATGTGTAATAGAAATAACAGATTTGGACATCATGCATGTTGTGTTTTGGCCCAGAAAGTAAGCTCAGTTCCAAAAAAATGAAAAAGAAAGTACCTCCCTAAACTTTTAAGAGGGTTTCAGGGTTATAACAAAAGATCTTTCAGTTTATATTCAAGTTTTAGATGTTTTTTCTATGAAAAATAGTCATTAAAACGTATTAAGATAATATTATTTCAAAATTAAACGCATAGCTTCCAGCAAATGACTAGAAAAAATAATCACACTTGAAAGAAAAAGCAGTTACGATTGCTTCTGCTTGACCTAGTTTGCCCACATGGACTTGTATAAAGCACATTATTGACTGACTGATGAGAGGCGACCAAGTACCAATACATGACTTGCCATATTTTTCTAACCATAAGTCCCACTTCTTTACATGTTTTCGCCGGGGCGGCAACCTATACTCCAGAGCGACCTAGAAATAAAAAATATACCGGTAGATTCTCAATTAATTTATCGTAATAAAACAATTTTTCATTTCTTCCTTTTGCCGTCACAATATTGTCATCTGCACTTTTCATGTTAAGTTAAGATACCTGTATGTCCATATATAGTCTGGAAAATATGGTAATAGTTTGTTTGTGTTGAGGGTTATGAAAGAGCATAGGAAGTGTTTTTATAATGTTGTTTTATATGGTCCTGCTGTCGCTGGGGTTCTGGAACCTAACCTAATAGACGTGGGACCACTGTATTGTAAACCAATAATCCCAACATTATGGTGTTATTACGTCATTGTCAACCCCTTTTTTTTCTTATCTTTTTTTTCAGACGTATTCTGGTCTCTTCTGCGTGGTTATTAACCCCTACAAAAATCTGCCCATCTACTCAGAGAACATCATTGAGATGTACAGGGGCAAGAAGAGGCACGAAATGCCTCCTCACATCTATGCCATCTCGGAGTCTGCATATAGATGCATGCTACAAGGTAAGTCTGTGTGATGCGGCTGTGTATTATGGGTTCTCTCATTTCAATCCACCACACGAACAGGACTGTCCACTCTCGTATACCTTTAAATGTTATTTAAGTTTTTTAGATTTCTTTTTTAGGGAAATTAAGGTATTGGGTTTTATTTCTTGGATATCTCTGAATATTCACATCTATGGTAAATAGCCAACAGCATCGAAAATTCTTTCTCCATAAAATCTTAGTGGCATGTTATTGTCATCTATGAAACTTCGATATATGGAATGACTTTATGAGCTTTATGTTGGAAAAGCGCATACGAGAGTACACAAACACAATGCATAAACCTCTTATATTATTAATGTACCCTTATAGGATGAACAGCAAATCCAATATTTTCCCATCCAATATTAATCATATTTTCCAAGCATGTCTTGTCACATGATTTTGGTTTCTGTGTTGTCGGATTGCTCCGGTTGCTGCATTATTCAAACATGAACTCTCTCAGGATAACAAAGTTTTGGAAGTGATGGCAGTCCAGGGTGAATGGCATCTTCGAAGATCTTTTGCCTCGCAGTTGGCAAGCTTTCACACTCCATGAGCAGTGACTGACAAGGATCAGACCAACAAGAGCAGAGAGGGTGACCCCATTGTGCTTGACAATAGATCCCTTGTGCGTCTGCAAGAAATGACAAGTGGGGGTGGTAAAAAAAAAACTGGGCAGTCTTGTCAGTTGGTGTAGACTCGGCTTGTGTCCGTGCACAAAACAAAGTTTCTGAAGCCTCAGTTATCCAATTTTATTCCAACCTTTGATGTCTGTGGAGTAAGGCTTTGATAGGTAGTCATGCCGATGGGAATTGTGACTACAGTTTTTTCTGATCCTCTCACAAAACCTGATTTCTTCTAGCGGATCACATTAGCTTTGTTTTTAAAAGATGCTTCATGTGAATAACTGATGCTTTGTTTTGGTGCTGTAGTAGCTAAAAGAAGCATTCCACATGTGAGCTGTTGATGTGTTTTTGATGGTTCGCTCCTGCTTCTTTGTGCCCTCTTCTCTCTTCAAACTGTGATTTTTACATAGTTGACCACAGACAGATGGGGCAGCACTGCAGGAGCTGTCAACTTAGTAATGCTTTGGTACCAGTATTTTCTACTGGGGATTTTCATAGCTGAAATAGGGCCCTTTGTCCATGTTAGCAGAATGTCTCTAAAAACAGTGTAGACTGAAAAAGAGGTTTTTAGGTTTAAAATGAGTTGGCGACCAACTGATTTTAGCTGTGGCCTTGAGAATTTCAGCAGCCTGGTTGATAGAGCAGCATATCCAGCTGCATGTCTCATATTTAGTGAGTTATTTATCCCTTTGTTCCTGGCAGTAAAGTCACTCTGAGCTTGATGCTGGCGGATGGCTTTAGTTTTCCTGTGGGACCCGGTTGGAAGTCGTTTTCCTGAAAACTTGTTTGTTCAGTCTGAGGTTTTTGTCATTACAGTTAACTGCCAAAAAAAAAAAAAAATGGTCATGCCTGTTTTGTGGCTCATTTGTCGCTGTTGTGAAAATTAAATGAGACAAAGCCCAAAAAAAAAAAGTCTACTTAATTAATTATTATGGATGTCACAAGCTATTTGATATATATGATTATATGATGTATATCTTATTCAGATTTTTTAATAATCTTTCTGCCTGTATTATGCCTGCTCAATTAGAGCTAATATCCTACTCATAATTTCATTGGTAAATATTATGATCAATAGATAAGTCAGGGATCTTCAAAACTAGGTAAAACATTTTTTTAATGTTTTTTCAATTTAGTTTTTACAGAGAAAATATCAGCGTAAAGTACCAATACAGTATATAAGTTTTATACAGATGTTTGCATTAATAAACGGCATTGAAGTGCAATTATACGAATTTAAAAAATGTGCTAACAGAAAGATTTTGTGTAGAATTGCATAAGACTAATTTTTGTAATCAGTTTATTAACAAACTCCCCTTTTTTTTTAGTCATGTGGATTCAAGCTATTTCTATTTGAGATTTTTATCCATAGCATGACGTTTTCATATTGAATTTTCAAACTGCTTTGTTTATATAAAGCCTTTTAATTCCAATCAGGCTTTTTATCTGAATATTTCTGTGAATGTAAACACGCCTGTGTACAATTCAAGCCATTAAGAATCCTGTTTTTGGTAATCCAATCATAATCCAGTCTAATCCAATGCATTACATTCCAAAGTAGTTCACTTCAAACAGAGCCAGTTTACAGATCACATTAAATTATTGTTGTAATTTATGTTGATGAATTTTAAATCCTATTATGCTTATGAGATTTTAAGAATAATAACATTTGTCGATTCAAATAATTGTTTTTTGCATGTCTGCTAAGATTTTATCAGGACTATTGGCCTAAATAAATAAAAAACAAACAGGAAATGGAACGTCTGCTAAATTTGAAAGACTTCCAAAATGGCCGCACACATTTTTGAAGAAGAAAAAAAAGGATTTAGAGTATTAGTGTGCAGCCAAGGTCAGACATCAGACATTGGTGTGTTTCACTTTGGAGAGTTTCCAGCGAGTGACAAAGTGATGAAATGAGAAGGAAGCAGACACTCCAGGGAGAAGTTAGGACTGGTGTGGTTTGCTCTCAACATTAAGATGTTAAAAGTGGACCTGTTTTAAATGGTTGTGATGGCATGAAATCTGATCTGTAACCCTTTTGTGCATGTTTCCAAAGACATTTAACCACAACAGAAGCACACAACACAACATAAACAAGTGTTTATTTATCCACGCGCACATTCATTTAGTTGAGTTCAATAGATCTCAGTTATTGATTCCCAACCAAAGCAGAAAGAATCATACACAGGATGAACCATATACATTGCAGTTGTCTGAGAAGAAAATATAAACAGTAATAAACACAGCTATAGCATATATTGGGAAAATAACTGATTCCCCCTTATAGTGAAAGGGTGTTGGATGGAGTGGAAAATAAAGCTTTGAAAAAGCTGTGCAAGATCAAAGTGTACCATACCATGTAATGGGGAAAAAAATCATGACCCAGTTCCCTCTGTTTTATTTTTGACTGCTCTCTCTCTCATTTCTTATTGCAGAAATTGCTGTTGTTTAAGTTAGCATTCCTTTGCTGAGAAAAATCATCTCCAACATTTCCAGCTGTATCACTCATAATAAAAATGGCTTGTGAGAGATGGGGGCAGGCCCGTGTCACCTTCTGGTGATGTGTTAGGGTCATGTCAAAGCTAATCTTTTTTTAAATCATGATATTTTTTTTACGGATTAGTGACTGCAGGAATGGAACTGTCATTTGTCAATTTTGTAGATTTTGCTCCAGTTTCCATTTCCACGGTAAATAACACTTCACACAAATATGCTCTTTGATTTATTAGTGCTGGACCTTAGCACAGGACCACATTCTATTAACAACTTGAGGACATCTAAATCTCACAGGGATTTGATAATTACTGCAGTGTTGCTGTGAGGGCAGTCACTTCTCAGATTGTAGGTCCAATAGGGTAAAAAGAAAAAAACTAGGTGAGGAGACCTCCAGAACTGTCACAGGTTGGGCCTAAGAAACAGGTTGTCTACGTGTCACAGTGAAGAAAATAAGTAATTGAACACCCTTCTATTTCTCCTACAAATCATGGAGAGGTCTGAAATTGTCATCGTAGGTGCATGTCCACGGTGAGAGACATACCGTAATCTAAAAACAAAACAGAAATCACAATGTATTTGTATGATATGGCTCTTTTCAGGTTAACATTTGAATTTTTTTAACCTTGCTAACAGAGAACATTATAATCTTCCCAAGGTGCTGCTTAAGTGCCCAACAGCCACTGTTCTGTGTCCTACATATTTAAGAGAGGCCAGCGTCCTATCTGTGGGAAACAATGCCCAGAGATCTCAGTTTGAAGAGGCTGGAACGCGGGCTGATAAGGTGGCTGGGCTAACAGTTGCCAAGATGTGAAATGGACACATGAAAAAAGGTGGTTTTCACCATCTCAAACAATTCCTATCTCCATAAACTTTTTCTTGAGGCTTTAGGTCCTTAAATGGCAAAAATCTGGTTTCCGTCTGGCTCTATTTAGAGTTCGACTGCTCCTACGTACTTAATCCATACAAATATGCTTTTTTTATGTTTATCATTTGAATACAACTGTGACATTAATGTCAGCGTTTCAGATACATTTTAGGGGTACATATTTTCCATAGATACTTTTGTAAAAGAGGTAAATTAAAGATTTTATAGATTTTGTTCGCATGATGTTTGTGTGCAAAAATAATTACATGCCGTTGGTGTGCATTAGAGACAAACAAAAACCTTGCTAATCTTTTAAGAGACTGTAATGTCTCTTTGGCAAGCAAAACAGCACAGAGGTGTTCTACTAATAAGAAGTCACATGGCACATGTCTTATGATATGGCTTTCTGTACCAAGAAAGGACACTTGTAAATCACCAACAATTCAGTTTTTTATACTGTTGTTTTTATAGCTCACTTCTTTATCAACGTGTTTAGAAGCACCATTATCACATGAGGCACAATCAACTGTTTTATTCTGAGTATAAAATCAAAGCTATGTAGTTGTTCATTAATGTTTCAAAGTGTCTATCAGACCTTAAAATGATTCATTTTCAAAGCGCTGCGTGGTAGGAATAACTACAAAACTGCTGTGCTTCAATAGAAGACTAACACTCTTATAACACGTAAGCACCGTCCTTTGGAGTTGTGAAAATGGCTTTGCTGGGTTTTTGTCCAGCGGAGACCTTTTAATAAGTAAGCAATCCAAATCTGTTGCGTGACAAGTTTTTGGTTGCCAACCGTCCTCATCCTGCTTGTCAGGATCCAGATCGAGTGTCATAAGGTCATATCACACATGTATGTGCAGGTATGACTCTTCCTGTTGTAGATCTCCATGACAACAGAACACAGCTCCACATCAGCTTTTTACAATGGTAAAATTTGTTGCACAATTTCACCAATACTTTCACATTCTTTAATCTTGAAACCATTCCTTATAAGTATGTTTTGAATTAGAAAACATGTATGGAAAAACTTCAATTTTAATGAAAGTTTATCTTAAAAAGGTTAATAAATCATTACTTTAAACCATTTAATTGAATCATTTGTAATATTTAAAAATATAGGTCATTTTTGGTATTCATTGAGGCTTATTCAGTTAATTAATATCCTAAACTTTTAAGAGTTCAACTGTTAAGATGGATTGAATGCGTCTAAAGCCACCTTTAAACATAAAGTGTTGATGTATCACTGTCACTTGTTGTAAACTTCACACATGGGCCATAAATGTGGGCAATAGCAGCTCTTCTTTAACAACATGTCTATATTTGTTCGATCTCACTGTCAATTCAAACTCTTCTGAGTGTTCTTTCCTTTGTTCCCGTGTTCAAAATGTAGCCATTAACAGCATTCGCACTCGCTTATTTGCTGTAAATTAGCATGAATGTGTGTTTCACCTGCTGCTCTTCTGGACACTGAAATCTGATGCGGATAATGTAATTGAAACTTTTGCAAAAATGACGCGTCTGCATCGGTTCATTGGTAACAGAAGTATTATGGAATAATGTATTGTATTGATCTCAAACAGTATGGCATTAGTTGCATAATAAGAAGCTTAGAACACACAAAGGAAGAGGCATAAAATGTAATTGCAGAAGAATTTCAGTTTCTAATTATGTAGCAAACATAATTATGTGCAGCATAGTAAACAGTGCAGTCATTTTTTTGTCTGCCATTCTTTTCATCCCCTTTGAGTTTATGGGATGCTTGGACGTTTGGCCTCTGTTGCTCCTCTTGATTGTATCCTATGACAATCAGCAGATTTAGAAATAGTCGGCACACATCAAGCATGACGTTACAGTGTGGGTTGCAGTGAACTTAGAATATAACTGAGACTGCAAAGTCCAGTCATTTCAAGGAAAGTTATCCTGAGGAGGAATAAACTGTGTGAGCTTGTTTTACTATTCATAAGAAAGAACTATGATGCTTTTTGGATTTTCTTAACTATCTTTGTATTTTAAACGTGTCTTGAATCGCTGTCACAATTCAAGTAAGGACCAAGTTATACACGTAAATGCCAGAGATTAAATGGAGCGTGTATGCACCGTTAGGTCTGGACTTCGTCCCCTGTTACATACAAACCTCTCAGCAGGAGATTCTAAAGCTGGAATAGAGTGCTGAGTTTAAAACTTACTAATTGAAAAGGCCCACGCAGACAGGAAGAGAGACTTGATGTATAAAGTATGGTTGGAAATTTATTTTCAGTGCATGAAGTGTGATTTAGGTTCAAGTGTTTTAGTGCTTTTGGAAATATCATATATACTTGAACTTCCACTCTTCAGTGAAAGTACAGAGTGTGCAAGGAATGAGAAGAAGTCAGCAGAAGAAAAGCTGATGTACATTTGCTGCCACTCTTAAACACAAGCATTAGCCATCAGTGCTGGCACCACGCTCGGCTTTCCTGTCTTTGCTCTGCACTGAGAAAACACCACATGCAGAGCCACTGAGCCAAGTAATGGCTCAGTAATGAAATAATGCTTTATTTCCAAGCTTATCTTATTAGAATTAGAATTCTTCCTTTTGCCCTTCAGTGTGCCAAAATCAAATATTTCCAAGCTAATGTCATAGGCAGGAGGAAATCTCCAGCTTCATTAGTCATGTGAAGCTGGCAACCTGCATTGCCAGTGGAAAGAAACCCACAAAAATGTTCTTATGACCATTGACTAATGCCACAGAAGTATATATCTCTGTTACTTTGGTTCTCATCTACTTTAATTAATGACATTACTTGTCAGTAATCAGCTGAGAACATTCTGGCAGTGATTAGTTTTGTCTTTAAACTGCTTCATTTTTTTTATTTTAGAAAAAACATATATTTTTCATTCTCCTTTTGTCAAAGATAGTTTCAGTAGAGCCTATATTCAAATTTGTAACCTGTATGAGCTTGCCACAATCAGCCAACCTTTACGTGGGCTGCATACTCCGCATTGCAGCATGAGAATGCCTGAAGTACCAGTGGACCTTTTGTGCCTTTTTGTTTTGAAGTACACGGGGACATTTCTGTTGGAAACCAGTAAATTCATGTTGTCCTTGATGGGTCATCCAGCTGTCCGTCATGCAGGAGCTGTCCATTATGGAACTTCATGGGAACACAGTCAGACGTGGCTGGCTTCAGAGCAAAACTGCAGTCGTTATCAAAACAGGCAAATTTTCCTTCGGTAGCAGCTGGTGGAAAAACTTTTTTTTAAACCTGTCTGTCTCCAGTTTAATTTATTACATCGTACAACTCCAACATTGAGAATATAAGTGGGATTGTTTCCAAAACAATGGCAACACCTAGTATTGACATATATATATAGTCTTAGTTTATTGCAATAGGATAGCATTTGTGTATTAAACACAACTAAATGTCTCAACACCTCAGAGAAAGCAGCTGTCAAGTTAACTATAAATGCAAGTTCTGAAGAGTCTGGATTCCCCCCCCCCCAAATCCTTGGACATTTTGCTGATTAGCTTAACATATGACTGGAAAGCAAGCAATTCCCCTATTTGTATGTACATGTATGAGCAAATTTGTTTAGTTTTCCAATGATATTAACATTCTTTATTATATGTAATTCTATATTATGTTTATGGATTTAGCAGGTGCTTCTATCCAAAGTGACTGTATATGTATATATATATATATATATATATATATATATATATATATATATATCTCAAGAAACTGCTGTAGATGGAGGATTGCAGGGACTAGTTCTGACCAAAGAACTCAGATTTACCCCAGCAAATATTGTAATAAATTTATGGGGTAAGAACAATCTGATTTATGTGGATTAGAATTGCGATGTGCTCATCTTCTTTAAATATAATTTAACCGTGACCTTTTTAGAAAGAAAAGGAAGAAAATGGAGCATATTCTCAGATCAAGTACAACTAATGTACAAATCCGAGTCTCCCCCCCCTTAAATTACAGGGCCTATTTCTCTTAAAATGTTTTATCTGTTTCGTTATTAACGTTGCCTGTTTTTTTTTCTTATCCTCTCCTTTTCCTTTAATATTTCCCACAGATCGAGAAGACCAGTCTATTCTTTGCACGTGAGTACACAGATCGTATATCGTCAATTTTTTTTTTTTATTGAAACAATTGTCTTAGATTATAGACTGTACTTTCCATTCAGTGTTCCCTCCAAAATTCAAATTAGAATCAACATGGAAGACAGAAATAGAATCCCTGGCCACAGCCCAAGTTCTTCCATGCAGTTAAATGAAACTAAGGTTTTGACAAATTTCTTTCATAGTTCCTGGGGCTACCTAGTCTGCAATTACTGGAGAGAAAAGTGAGAAACGTGGGCCTGGGAACTGTTTGACGTTTCTGCAAGACAGCCCTCTGTTGTTATGTTTGCACCAATGTGCAACATTTAATTCTAAAACAAGAACTCTGCAAACCTCAAAAGTTACAGTCACTGCAGACCTCCCTGTTTTTATGGCGCACCTTCAGAAATAAAGCCCATAAGAAATGTAACGCCTGCCAGTCCATAGCCAGTGACAACAATGTGACCCCCTCCATGATTACATCCTGTTCACAGCAGCTAACTTGACTGTCACCGCTTTAGCAAGTTGTATCCAGGCCACGTCACACTGGAACAGGAAGAGCAAAATAGTATCTTCTGCATAATCGGTGCCTGTAAATTAGCACTTTCTGTAAAACCTCAGTTATGCTCTCAAATCTCTTTTGGCCAAACTGCTCTCCAAACGTTTTTTTCGCTGATTTTAGGGCTTAGGAAAGTTTTTTTTTTCTCTTTCGGTTTTTGTACGCCATGGTCTCGGTATGACGCAGCGCGGAGAAACACGCCAGAAACCACAGCTGCAAACCTGGACCGACATTTGGAAAATGTAGCGCAATGAAAGTCACACATGATAAATTGTGCACCAGTACTCAGTTTGAAATCATATTTGTATGACTGTTATGTGAGAGAAGATGGTTATAATGTTCTCTTTCATACTGATTTTTAACAAAAATAAGATTACAGTATGCCTGAAATGTGTAAAAATAGTTAAATAAGATAAAATAGATAAATGTTTTAATTATCTTTTTTACGGTTTGTTTTTTTTTCTATAAATTTTTCTTTAATCATTAATGTTATTAATGTTACTCCTGTTTTAATCTTTTATGTGCCTTTTAGAGGGGAGTCTGGAGCTGGCAAGACAGAAAACACAAAAAAAGTTATTCAGTACCTGGCACATGTTGCCTCCTCCCATAAAGGAAGAAAAGACCACAACATTGTAAGTATCCGCATTAAAAAATTAAATAAAAAGAAACCTAATATTACATATTAGTTAACAACGTTTTTATATTTAGCCAATATTCAGATTTAATCCATAATGAGTCAGTAGGCATAATGACTTTGTGTTATGGGTTAAAATGTGCTCAGTCTAACCATATACATTTGTTTATGTGTAACAAACAGCCAGAATCGCCCAAACCAGTGAAACCACAGGCAAGTTTTTTTCACATATTTCCATGCATGCCACACTAACATTTTTATTTAAAACATATTCAATTTCCCTTTAACCTAAGCTCAAATACCAGTTTACTTAGTTTGATGGTCCATAAGATGATATCACTGATTACTCTTAGTACATATTAGTCCATCTGTTGCTTTTTTGTGAAAACTTAATCGGCCTATGTTTTCTTTCTTTGTCAGGCGCCCAATGAAATTGTGAGTAAATGTTAAAAGTGGCATGATTTAGCAGACTCCCTTTACCGTGGTTGTTTTAGATATGTTTTAGTGTTGATTTGCCATTTTTACATCATCCTCAGTGAGACGTAGTCGCATGCATGCTGGTTATTTGTTGTGGTAGTCACGTTATGGTCCTGTTTCTACATATAAATCAAATTAGGGAAATAACTGGTGTTGACTGGTTTAAGGGTTTTATGTGCATGGTCGTCGTCTGTGTCCTAGTCATTGGGTCCCAGACCCTGTTTTCTAGCCTGCCACCAAATTCCACTTGATCTGAGAAGCAGGGGACCATGATCTCCCTCTTAACTCAGAGCAATAGCAGGACTCTGGGCCTCGAAAATCTAGGTCAACGCATCACTGAACTCCTTCATTTGGATTTGTCCTCTTTTGTAGGCTGTGTGTAGATACTTATAAGTCCTTTCTGAAATGTTCCCCTTCAACTACAGCCTCTGTTTGTATCTATGACATCAATGCAGTTTATCGCTTCCTACTAGTTTTCATTTATTTAACAAATGAATCTCTCCAACAGGGTGGATCCCTGTTTTATGTGAGTAGTATATAGTTTCTTACCTACCTGACCTCACCTAAACACAAAAGGGGGTGCTGGACTCACTCTTTTGCTTGCTTTTTTAAATGACCTGCTTTATATATAATAACCCACCATTAACTTAGATATTCCCTCAAATTTGGGAGGTCGACGCCTTCCATCCGCAGTAGCTGCATCCCCCGCTTTATAAAATAACCCACCATTAACATAGATGTTCCATAAACGTGGGTGGTAGATGCTTTCCATCTACAGTACCTGCATCCACCTGCTGTAGTTGAACTTTCGCATTGCATGATTTGTGATCCTCAACCGTACTAATCCATTAACCCCTGTTTCTTGCACTCATTTGATGTTGCTGATATTGATTTTTAAGCAGTATATGGCTTTGGATTTATTTTATTTTTTTCGCAAACAGTACAATTGATTTCTTCAGTTAGTTGAGATACATTTTTATAAACTAACTATTGTCATTCCCTTATTTTTGCTTCCACAAAATGCAATGAAACTAAATGATTAGTTGTTTCATCTTGATCTTTTCTTAGGTTTTATCTTGTCTACCTACTTGGCAAGTTTTCTGCAAAACATCACCTCTTCTTCCAAGAAGAAGCTTACAAAAATCCCCAATATTCAGCTATCGCAGCATCTAAACGCCGATTTTTGCTAGCCAGTTATGGTATTAATGACGTGCTGAATTGTTTGATCTCAGAATTTTGTCTCATTTGACATGTTTTCCACAAAACTGTCCAACACTCCCCATGTGATTCACTTATTATACCAAAGTTCACAGAATGTTTTGTCTTTTTGTCTTTATCACCCAACCTTTTGGCCCTCACAGAACCTATTTTGCATCACTTCCATCTGATTCTGCACATGAACCAGATGAGTTTTCCCACCTGGCTTGGTTCCTGCTAAAGCCTTCATATTTTTTCTAGCCTCTAAAAAAGAAAGATGACTAAAAATCTATCTGGCCCTGTGACCTCTATAGCAGATGTTCCACAGTGCAAACAGAACCACAACTGGCCTCTGCCTCTGAAGATTTATTGGGACAGTTGTGACTTATCCCCTTGGAATCCCTGAATAAGTTCTAAAATCCTGCTCAGACATTTTGAAAAGAGATCTACCTCTCATTTCAGTTTGAAAGAAATGATTGTAGGATCAATGATAAGAAACAGTGTGCTGTAAGATGGGATGTGTTGTATATAGTTGAGAGATGATTTTTGTTTCCGTCTTTTTATGGGTTTTAATACAACAGAACAACAAGTGTTGATCAGAAGTGGACAACAGAAATGTGATCCTCCTTCTAAGGCTGCCTGTAATGATACCAAGCACTCTACGGTGTTTGAAATCTGCCTTCTTAAGCTTCCAAAGTGAACAATTTGAACCACATACCTGGGCCACAGACCTGTGTTTATATTGAAAACAAAGAAGTTGAAATAGTCTGCCCTGTCTGGATTTTGCTGTCCATCACGATCATCGGCCAAAGATCGAATTAAATGTCTTCCATCTTCAATGCACTGCTGATTCCCCACCTCCCTGTTTTTGGAAAATGGTTTAGTCAAACCATAGGCACAAGGATTTTTTTTCCCCCAACCTCGAGAGGCGAAGTATTGCAGCAGGAAAAAATCATTTTCCCTCGACCTCTGTGGATTTTCTGGCCATGAAGCAGCCTGCAACTGTGGCTCAGAGGAGTATATGTAGTGGAAACACCTGTCCAAACCTCTTCCTAAATCCTGTATTTGTTTATTCAGCTTTTTTTAAACTGTGGTGTTGGGAAGAAAAAAGAAAAGAAAAAAAAGAAAGTGCCTTTGGACACATTCTTTCTTTTTAAAATAGAATGACAGAATGGCTTGTTTTCTCAATATTTCAATTAATCTTTCCGAAAATACCTTTCAATGCATTAAGATTCAAGATTTAACTTTTGTCTCTCAGACGAGAGACAAATCAGAGGGACAGGTTTAACAATGGGATAAGAGCTGTGGTCCTATATCAGACAATGAGAGAAGACAATGTAAACGTTTTGTTACTGTTATGCTGAAGTGAACTTCTCAGAGTGCTAATGTGCCATGGCCTTTGGTTTTATTTCTATGCATTTTGATTTATTTATTATTTCTCACACTGTCTGATGAGCGTGCTTGATTTTTACATTCAGGAATTTGAGACATTTGAATTCTTTGTTTGTTCTTCTTTAACTCTTTTAGTTAATGAAGCCACTTTTTATACTAACTGATCTGCCCGATCCAATCTTTCTGGAAATGTTAATCTCACTGAGATGGGCGGTGAACAGTTTAAAGTGAAACCACCCGACTGTCCAATCATGCTAACCTGACTTGTTTTTTTTTATTTTATTTAAGTGTTGAGGAGTAAACTGTTAAGTGAATGAGGATAATTATCTGAAAAGAAAGGCAGGAAGAAAGAATATGGGGGGAAAAAAATCAAGGTGTAACTTTAATGGTTAGGCCTTAGAAAAAATTGAAGTAGTTCAGTTATCAAGAAAACTGTTGCTTTTTTCACTCGGACTCTGTTCAGTTCACCTGTTAAGGAACAATGTCTGTAAAAACTTCTGCACAAACACCATCCCAAATTCCACGATGCCTGCTCTCTTTGCATGTGCACCTTCTTTTCCACGTCGCTTTCTCATGGCTTTTACTTTGTTGGCCTCTCCTTTGTCACGATGATGAAAGTTGCTGTGTATGTGTGTATTGCATGTCTTGTCGTTTTCAAAGGGTGAACTGGAACGTCAGCTCTTACAAGCCAACCCCATCCTGGAATCATTTGGGAACGCGAAGACTGTGAAAAACGACAACTCCTCACGTTTTGTAAGTGTAGCCCGAACGAAAAGATAAGAAGCCCGCTGCTCGCCAGATCTACTTTGTGCTCGTGAAAGCCACCTCATTTCTGATTTGAACCTCTCATGGATGTAGTCATATGTTTGTGTTCTCTTGAAAATACGTCACTTAACGTTTGCTGTCACAGAATTTAGTAATAAATAACTGATTTCTTGGCTTTCCTGTAAAGAAAGTCATTTGTGTTCAGTTCCATTGTTATAAACAGGCCTATATTATAGTTTCCTTTTTTTCTCTTATTTAACTCCTGATCCAGTGTAACTTTTCAGATTTCTTTTTATACTTCATCATTCCATTTTGGAGGTGTCATTCTTGTTCGCGACCTGCATAACATGGTCCTGTAACACGGTTTAAAGGGCCGTTTTGAGTGTTAATTTTGTCCTTTGCAAGCCCTGACCAGTTGTCTTGTGTTGATTTCACCAGGGGAAATTCATCCGGATCAACTTTGATGTCACTGGGTACATTGTTGGAGCCAACATTGAAACCTGTATCCTCAACCGATTTTTGAAAATCTACTCACTGGTCGCAAGATTTAACTTCACCTTTGGTGCTTAAGCCTCTACGAAAACAATAACTTGACAGCACTTATTTTTATCCCTAAAGTACCGCAGACATTTGTGTTCCTTGACCGCTTCGCTTCAGACTTGCTGGAGAAATCCAGAGCTATTCGACAAGCCAAAGAAGAGCGAACCTTCCACATTTTTTACCAGCTTCTGGCAGGAGCAGGCGAGCATCTCAGATGTGAGTTGAATGACCATAAAGCTGTCTAGACGCTTCCGTCTGTCATTTTTACGGCCGCACGACAACACGTATGACGAACGAAAGGAAAAACTGAGCTCTAGTCTTTTGGATCAGACTCTTGGATTTTGATTTGTGACTCTGCTTTGCTTTCTCTTTTGCTCCAAATGTTTTTTCACATACACAAAGTCTTTCAGTTCGCTCTGATTCTCGTGTCCTAATTGATTTTTAAAAAAGCAGAAATCTGTGATATTAAAACTTTTTTTTTTCTTTTTTTCCATCCATAGCTGAGCTGCTTTTGGAAGGCTTCAATAACTACCGTTTCCTATCCAACGGCAACATCCAAATTCCAGGCCAACAAGATAAAGACAACTTCCATGAGACCATGGAAGCCATGCACATAATGAGTTTTGCTCATGATGAGATAATGGGTATGTTACAGAATAGAATTTAATCTAACGAAATCTTTTTAGTGTGTGTGTGTGTGTGTGTGTCTCCAGGGTCCAGTTATTGCAAGACAGTTCAGCTATTAGGAGAGAACGATGATGTTTTGATATAGTTCAAATCTTGTTACCCTCACTGCATGTGTGGCATACATGCTTTGCGAATTAAACAAATGTTTATAATTAAAAAATGAATAAAAAAATAAACAAAAAAAATTAATAGGACTTGAAAAAGGTAGTATGATTTGAACTGCTACTATTAATTTACACTGAAATTTCAACTTGTGTGCCTTGTGGGCACAATGCTGCCCTGTACCATTTGTTGCTTTAACTACTTGATACACAGACTTGTTATGAAACTGAGATCTGCCACACTAATTACGCTTTTCCTGTACTCTGATGTCTGCAGCCATGTTGAAGGTGGTGTCCTCAGTGCTTCAGTTTGGTAACATAGTGTTCAAGAAGGAGAGGAACACTGACCAAGCCTCAATGCCTGATAATACAGGTATCCGCTGACTGCTACACACAAGAAACTATAAGCTGGCTCAGTGCCAGCCACCCTCTGGTCCAGACAGCATTCTCTACCCTTACACGCTTCAGCTCTTCTCTGTTTGCCTCCCTCACATCATGCCTCTTGTCCACAAAAAAGGGGGGGCTGGTCGCGTACGTCTTTACTCACCATCAACCTCATTAAGCTGCTTTTAAGCCAAATCACAGTTAAGATTTACACTGAAAGGAAGTGGGGCACGGCCTTTGCTTCCCTCCACATTTGGCACTGCATATTTGACCTGGGATTAGAATCAGACTGATTCTGTAGATGCAGCTTAGCCAGATCTCCCCATATGCTGCAACCAATCACTGATTTAGAGATGTTTTTTCCCTTTTGTGCAATGACAAAATTGCCATAAAATTCCATAAAGCTTTATATATATTAAATAAAAACAGTCCCTTTTGTTTTCCCTTGGACAGAGATTCTTTAGCTCCGTGTATGTGATAGTTTAATATGAATTATCTATTTAGTAAATTCTCCAAGTCTCTCTTGAGAAGCAAGCTTTTGCGTTTTTTTTATATTTAATGAACAGATGTTACACAGTTGTTGTGTCACATCTCTTACGGAATCTTCATTTTGATTTGATAAGTCACTTCCATTTGTGTTTTCAAGCTGCCCAGAAGCTGTGCCACCTGCTTGGTATGAATGTCATGGAGTTTACCAGAGCCATCCTGTCACCAAGAATAAAAGTGGGAAGAGACTATGTCCAGAAAGCACAGACGAAAGAACAGGTCAGTTTGAAACACCCCGTATGATAATTATGCTTTACCAATAATTTGGTTGAGTGATGAAATGATAGAAATGTATTAATTTGCATTAGCGTGAAGTGTAAATGAAAGATATGCTTCAGGTTTCGTATGTGCCCTTACATCACTTTAAATATGAGCTTTTCAAGTGTTCGATTGGCATCAAATTGACTGTAATTTTCTTGTTTAAAAAATTAACTTATGTTCAGGCTTAATGGTTTGGTTATTTTATTGTTGTGTTTTGTATTAGAAAAATCATTAAAATGCTGTTCTTTTGTTATAAGAAAAAAACTAATTCCAAGAGTAGTTAATCACTAAACTTGAATTGAAACATAAATGTGCAGTTTGTTCAAACTGCCAAAAAACACTTTCAGACTCAGTGTATTGTGTTTTTATCAGTACCTTCTTCTCTGCACAGTGATACCCGAGATATTTTTCTTATATTTGCAATCTGAATTAAACCAATAGACCAATTCCATATAATTCCAAGTGACATTAACATGAACAGTATAAAATATTGTCCAAAAATGCTCTCATCTCCTCTTGCTAGGCTGACTTTGCGGTCGAAGCTCTCGCTAAAGCTACATATGAGCGCCTGTTCCGCTGGCTGGTCCATCGAATTAACAGAGCTCTGGATAGAACCAAACGGCAGGGTGCCTCCTTTATCGGTATTTTGGACATCGCTGGTTTTGAGATTTTCCAGGTTTGGATTTACACTACTTCATATACGTGGAGGGAAAATTCTGTCATTTTTTTATTTATTTATTGAATTGTTTAGCAATAATACCAGACAATAGATCTATATATCAGTTATTTACCACCAGTCATTTGTAGGTATTTTTCCCAGTGACACTACAGCTTTTGCATTGTGTTTATTTTCTATTGTTTTGTTTTTTTGTTTGCTTTTTTTTTTCCACCACAGCTGAACTCATTCGAGCAGATGTGCATCAACTACACCAACGAGAAGCTGCAGCAGCTCTTCAACCACACCATGTTCGTCCTGGAGCAAGAGGAGTATCAAAGGGAGGGCATTGAATGGAGCTTCATAGACTTTGGCCTGGACCTGCAGCCCTGCATTGACCTCATCGAGAGACCGGTCAGTAAAACCTTATATCAAATTGTTACACTTTTGCCTTCTCAAATTACACCCCCTTTAAATGATGTGCTATTATTTCTTCAGGCTAACCCTCCTGGGGTGTTAGCGCTCCTGGATGAGGAGTGCTGGTTCCCTAAGGCTACAGACAAGACCTTTGTAGACAAACTGATCCAGGAGCAGGGCACCCACTCAAAGTTCCAAAGGCCACGCCAACTCAAAGATAAAGCTGACTTTTGTATCATCCACTATGCCGGCAGGGTATGCTTCTTTTTTTATTTTGTTTTCCACTCTTTAAATTCCCACTGAACTGACTGATTTGTATCTGTTTCTTTTGACACTGCAGCGTTACATAAAAATTACATTGATTTTACTAATAAGCAGTATAGATAACTGGTGAATTAGTATTCAATTATGATTCCTCCTTTTCTCCAGCATCTGTATTTCTGTCTAGATTAAAATCTTTGAACATCATGTTTTTAATTACAGTGCAGCTGTTCCAGACTTTTACCCCGCTCAAAAAAAAAAAAAAAACCTGATTTTGTCACTGCATTACACATTACTGGACAACAATATGTTGTGAACATATTGTGCCACATTTGTGACAAAATTAACTCATGCTTCTGCTATTCTAGGTTGACTACAAGGCAGATGAGTGGCTCATGAAGAACATGGACCCTCTTAATGACAACGTGGCAACTCTTCTGCATCAGTCTGCAGACAAATTTGTAGCCGAACTTTGGAAAGATGGTAATATGCCTCGGACTCATTTTCATCTTTTGAAATGCAGATTAGAAGCAAATCATTTCGGTAACACTTCCTGTAGGATTCATTGTGTTTGTAACTGTCTGCTTATCTGGTTGAACACATTGTGATGTCTATCATCAGATCTACTAACAACAGCTGTCTGCTTTGTTGACCCGAACCTGCACGTTTCTTAGGACTGAATGACAGAATGAATTCATACTCAACACCCTTCCCTCCCCCCTCTCTTTCTCTGTGTTGTAGAGATTCAGACCATTCAAAGGGCCTCATTTTATGACAATGTCACATGTCTGGATGAGCCAGAAGGTGAATGACTGAGGTTGTGCAGTAGCAGACCTGGGCCAAAATAGTAATTGCTTTAAAAAAAGAAAGAAAAAAAAGCATTTTAGTATTACAAAACCTCACTGTTCCAGGAGCTTGGTCGGGGATATAACGGAATATAAGCACTGCCCGACCAAGATTACCTGGACGGTGTTATATTTTTGCCCAGGTCTTGTAGCTGGTACTGTGTCTCATTCAGTTTCTGAAGTGGCTCCCATTTGGTTCAAGCCGCATGGCTCTCTTGTCTCAGCCAAAAGCAGCAGTGCCTTATTCCGACATTACATTCCTCCAGCTAGAAATAGATCAGAGTAGTTTGCTTGCCCTAGTTGAACCTGTTTGCTTTCATTTGTTTCTGCGTTTTTGTGGGTGAGCTAAGAAAAAAAAAAGTGAATCTTTTCTTCTTTCTCTGTTATTTTATTTTTCTTACCGGGTGAGGAAAAAAAAAGAATCAAAGGAAGAATATTTTTTGAAAATGAATATCCTGCCTCTCGACTTTCTAAATAGAAAGCGCAGCAGCAGGGAAACCAGATGTTAGTCTTGGTCCTTTTTCGCTTTGGCTAAGAGGGTTGGATCCGCTGTGGAGTGTTTGGTCAGCAGGACATCGTACATCAGCTGGGCTGTGGAGTAATCATGAAGCTATCAAGTGTTCATTAAGATGAAAATTAGATCCTAGTGGCTCTTTAAGATGTTATTGTTCCCTTTATGCAGTATGGTTGTGGGTTTAGGTCAGGGCGGCATCTTTCTTTAAAATATATTTTAGTACTTAATCTTTTAAGGTTTCAGTTATGAAGTAAAAAATATACACGATGAGTTCTTTATTTTTCTATTTATGATCTAGAAGTAAAACAGAAACATTAAAATAACAAAATACTCATTTAATAACATGGGGTAGAATGATAAATAATAAATATTTGTCCTGATGACGGTAGTTTTCCTAAAAGTATTTTGATACATCAAAAAATATTACGTCTTTTTTTTTCCATTTAGCATCCAAGAATTTAGAGCATATAGATTCAGTTAGTGAACTGTGATATTTAGTGAGAATATTAGTGACCTTCCCTTTTCCATGTAAAATACACTTTCATGTGTTTACTCCATGTGCTTTGTCTTCATCTGCATAAACAGCCTGTAGTTTTCCTTTTTTCTTTTTTTTAACAGTTTTATGCTACTCAGTTAGACTGCTGTATGGCGGCAAAACATGTTTTTTTATCCATCTGCAATTGCTCCCGTAGCGACATCTTGCCAAGTGCGTTGCTATGACCGATTCACCATCACGTGTTGTTTTTTATCCTGACAACTTCTCTCACTGTTTCCCCTCCAGTCGATCGGATCGTGGGCCTGGACCAGGTGGCAGGAATGAACGAGACAGCGTTCGGTGCCACGTACAAAACGAAAAAGGGCATGTTTCGTACAGTGGGGCAACTCTACAAAGAGTCCCTGACCAAGCTCATGGCCACACTGAGGAACACTAATCCAAACTTTGTCCGTTGCATCATCCCCAACCATGAAAAAAGAGTAAATATTTGCTGACCTTTGTTAAGGAGCATTCCTTTTGGGATTGTGACACGTCGCATCCATTATCATTTTAATCTTCTGCTTTTCATTTATGATCTGCTTTTAGGTGCTGATTAACATATGTGTTTTCCCTACAGGCCGGTAAGCTGGAGCCTCACCTGGTTCTGGACCAGCTGAGGTGTAACGGTGTCCTCGAGGGAATTCGTATTTGCAGACAAGGCTTCCCCAACCGCATCGTCTTCCAGGAGTTTAGACAGAGGTGAGGAGCTTCAAAGCTCTTCCCGTCCTCCTCCACCAGGGAGAAGAGTTAGTCTTCCTTTACAGTTCGCACAAATGTTTGTTTGTCTGTTTTTACTTACAGATATGAGATCCTTACACCGAATGCTATTCCCAAAGCTTTCATGGATGGAAAACAAGCCTGTGAGAGAATGGTAGGGCCATCTTTTTTTTCCTCATCTGTATTTATGCCTTAAAACTCCTGCTGCTGCAGCTAACTTTTTATGAGATGTACGGAAAGTTGTTCTAAACAACTGCCTTTTTTATTTTTATTCTATTTTATTTATTTAGATATACGCTCTGGAGCTGGACCCCAACCTCTTCCGCATCGGTCAGAGTAAGATTTTCTTCAGGACCGGGGTCCTGGCTCATCTGGAGGAAGAGAGGGACCTCAAGATCACTGACATCATCATTTACTTCCAGTCTGTGTGCCGTGGATACTTGGCACGCAAGTGAGTGTCGGATCTCTGATTTATGTTTCTGTACAAACTCTCCCAACATGAAGATGTTTCCAATTCATTAGATTATGTTCAATCTAAAATCCACAGTCTGTGTAAACAGTTTGGTAAACGACTTCACTCAGTAGGATCCATCATCTTTGCTGTCCTTGCCTTGTAGGCCACCATAAATTATTTCCAATGCATCACCTGCTTTATCAATCATATGGTCAGTCTGCTGTCTTTATGATTATTACTTTTTTCTCCAGTATACTGGCATTTTGAGACCATTTTGAGGTTTTACATAATGGACCCAGCATACAGATGTAAACTGAGGAGAAAAATAAGAGTAATGATAAGTGTTGTTAAAATACTAATGAAAAGAGTCCACTTTTCAGTTTAGGCTTAGTATCAAATAACACATTGAATTAGATTAGTTTTCCAGGAATTTGGAACTTGTAATTACTCCTATGATCATGAGAGTAATTTGTAGTTGAAGGTTAAACCCTCTTTTTGTAAGTCGCTTTGGATAAAAGCGTCTGCTAAATGCATAAATGTAAATGTATCAACTTTATTTTTTTTAATGAACTTTCTCAGTGGTAATGGTTGTAAATGGGGAAAACAGAAAAGATGTAATGAACAAAGCATTAAAATGTATGCTTTTTCCTTTTTCCGTGGCACATCAGTGCAAAAACTGATGGCATTCAGATGTTTTCAGAGATTGATCGGTGGCCTTTATTAATTTTATTTTATTTTGGCTTTCTTAGAGCTTTTGCAAAGAAGCAACAGCAGCTGAGTGCTCTGAAGGTCCTCCAAAGAAACTGTGCTGCTTATCTGAAGCTGCGACACTGGCAGTGGTGGAGGCTCTTCACCAAGGTGAGAACCCCTGACATTTACTTCAAAAAGCCTTTAAATGGGTAAAAATGACATTCCTACTGAGACTGAGTTTTTCTTTCTTTCCCTTCCAGGTGAAGCCTTTGCTGCAGGTCACCAGGCAGGAAGAGGAGTTGCAAGCTAAAGATGAGGAACTGATGAAGGTGAGGGAGAGGGAGCTGAAGTTGGAGAGCCAAATGGGGGAGATGGAGAGGAAACACCAGCAGGTAAACAGGCCTCTTCTTTTCTTTTTTCTTTTTTTTTGCAGAAAGTTAAATATTCCAATCTGATCTTAGAAAGACAGAAGGACATTTGCTGTATTACATTTCCAGTGTATGTTCGTTTTTATGAGCCAACAGCATTTAGTGTGTTTTCCAAACTTTTTTTAGCTCATAGAGGAGAAGAATATTCTTGCAGAGCAACTCCACGCGGAGACGGAGCTATTTGCTGAGGCCGAAGAGATGAGAGTTCGTCTCCTCTCTCGGAAGCAAGAGCTGGAGGAGATCCTCCATGACCTAGAGTCCAGAGTGGAGGAGGAAGAAGAGAGAAACCAGAGCCTGCAGAATGAGAAGAAAAAGATGCAGTCTCACATCCAGGTTTGTGTTAGATCAGGCTCTCTGGTCCTCAGTCACCTCACATGAAACCGGTTCATGAATGTGCGCATTTTTCGTTTCTCAGGACTTGGAGGAGCAGCTCGATGAGGAAGAAGCCGCACGACAGAAGCTGCAGCTGGATAAAGTGACATCTGAGGCAAAGATGAAAAAGATGGAGGAGGACATTCTGCTGCTAGAAGACCAAAACTCCAAGTTTCTGAAGGTGAGGATTCTGCACCAGGATTCAGCAGGCCAAACTAAAAGGAGGAGCACAGACGGGTGATGTTGGTGATTACAAGTAGAGGCTGATTATGGGATTGCAGCAGTTTCCACATTTTCAGAAAAGCTGAAAAAGATATGACTTGTTAATGAAAATTTCTAGAAAATTTCTTGTATATTTTCTTTTTCTCATGTCGAACCGCTTTGGTTAAGAAGTGGGTATGAAAGTGCCTTAAGATCACATTTTATTTGTAACCATTTTTATTTAAAGTTTCTCATTCATTAAAAAAAGGAAAGTTAAAGACCTCCTTTTTTTAATTGAATAGCTGAAATTCCAGGTAAATTACATTTTATTTGTGTAAAGTGCTTTTTTTTTTAGATTTGCAGAAATCTAAGGGAAATAACCTGGTGCTGTTTGCTGATTGCTCTAAAAAATCATAGTCAGGCCTTCAGAGAATAAGTAACTTTCAGATTCAGACGAGACGTCTTCAGATACTGCATCTTTATTTTCATTTAATGTAAAAATGTTCTGCATGCAATCTATCTTTTTAGTCCAAAAAGCGTTCTACAGCTTTTTCTGATGCACTGTTTTGGTCATTTTGGGTGCTCCACTTTGTCCAAGATGAGTACCCCAAAATGTGTGTGTCTGTTTTACCTGAAGCACACAGTCTGCCTTAAAGACTGAACCAGACTTTTTATTTGGTTGTTTTTTGTTTTTACCCAACAGGAGAAAAAGATGCTGGAAGACAGGATTGTTGAGATGACCTCCCAGCTAACAGAGGAGGAGGAGAAAGCAAAAAATCTCGGCAAGGTCAAGAACAAACAGGAGATAATGATGGTCGATCTTGAAGGTGAGAAACTGGAGCTAGCAGTTGTTTTTGGCTCCATTTGTGGTGTTTTGAGAGTTGGAGACTTTTTTAGGGGAGAAGAAAACTGAACAGATTAGTGAGCTCAGGCCAACTGCTGCATAAAAAATGGAAAGTAATTATATTTAACTGAATGACAAAGTTCAGCTGTCGGGCAACCAGTGTTACTGTAAATTAACTATCCCCTTGTAAAGTTAGTGTTTAGAATCTCATAATCTGCCGCAAAGCAACTGATACAATTACGATTAATTATGTCTGGTTGTTTGTAATTCAATTTTTGTGTGGTCTGCTATCCCTTTCCCTGTATGAGCGCAATGGAACTTGTGACTTTCCTCACTTTTATAGGAGAACACACATTGATAATAAGGTGTGGTCTTGTCTGCTTTCAGAACGTTTAAAGAAAGAGGAGAAAACGCGGCAGGAGCTGGAGAAGGCCAAGCGCAAACTGGATGCCGAAACAACTGACCTGCAGGACCAGATTGCAGAGCTGCAGGCTCAGATAGAGGAGCTGAAGATGCAGCTAGTCAAAAAGGAGGAAGAGCTACAGGCTGCTTTGGCCAGGTAACTCCCCACATCCTTCATTTCTTTTTTGGAATCTGTTGTATCCAGTCATCACACGACCAGCACACAGACAAATAAGTTAAAGAATCATATGCAAAAAGGCATTTGTAGACATTTATACAACGAACATTATTACTTTGAGGCAATAATATGTATCCTTCCACCCCACTATGGTGGCCTAAAAAAGTGGCTGGCCTAAAAATACTTTACAGCAAAGAATGATATGTACATTTGATGTACTTAACCCTGAGTAGCTTATTTGTTAATGACAAAACATATAGACTTCATAGTAAGTGTGAAACATATCATATATATTTATTTATTTATTTTTTTTATCCATAGGAACATTTTCTCACATTTTTGGGACTTAAACCCTTAAACCCTCTGAAGACCAATAATTTACATAATTTACAGCACAAAGTGTGACATTTTGCTGTGTGCTGAGAATGGTTAAAAGCACCATCTAGTGGGAAAATATAAAACCTAAAACTAGAGAGGTGTTATATGGGCTAATGGGGTGAAAATTAAACATTTTTTCTTCTAAAAACATGTCTTGATAATTTGACCTATAATCATTCAGTAGAGTATAAATAGCTTAAAAATTAAATATCTAATTTCTGTTAGAGGATCAAAATCCAGCAAAAAAGACATTTTTCTCTGAAACACTTTAAAGAAGCCATTTTCAGGCAAGGAAACGGGGCATTAATGTTATGTCAAATAAATCTAACCGCTTCAGCATTTCTTACGGAAAAGCTTTTAGAAACAGAACTGAAAACTCTACTGATTGACACTCATATTTAATAGATATCATTTACAGCTACCATCACATACACATCTGATCTCGTATCACTACAAACCTAAACCGAGATGGTTCCCACAAGTCTTCCTTTAACTATGCAATAAGAATCCTCTAAAGAGTAGCCCATTATTTCTTTGCTATGCTTGCAACTCTCCAGTGTGATGAAATATCCTCAGCACTTGAAATATTTGTTAAACCAACAGGCCCAACTTTGACACAAAGCAGCTTAAGCTGCTGTTATCGTTTCAGCTCACATACGCATTTTTTAAGGTTCTTATTCCGCTCTGTGCCCCCTTTGATGCCTTCTGATACTCAGAAAGTTGTTGCTGATTGTAGCTCTCAGTCCTTTTTCCAAATTATTAAATCAAAAACTGAAACTTTTAACCAGCTTATTTTCTTTTTTTTGGTAGGTTTGTTGTTTATTTGTTTTGTTTTTTACTGAACATTTCCAGTGGAAAAGACCTGTCACATACTATTTAAAAACCTTTGCTGTCATGACTTTTTCCAATCATAAAGTGGATGCAATGAGGTTAACAGATGTACTGTGTTTTAAAATCCCCCCCGATGGCCAACCTAAATCATTCAATATTCAACAACTGTTTGATTGATTTCACACTGCCCAATCTTTGGTTTAGAACGCTGATAATTGTACTTTCATTAAAGTTGATATGGCTCCCTTTGAACTTGGAAACTACTCAAAGATAATCTTAGTCTTTGAAAGTGCCACATTTTATGAAAAAAATTTAAATATTGTATTAGTCAGAATAAAGTTTTGCAAGACTTTAGCATAAAAAGCTGGAGAGCTTTTTTTATTTCTTATTTTCAAAGTCTTTGTTAGGGCAAAAAATATTTAAACGTTACATATAACGTACGAGGTGTGCTTTTGATGTACATCAGTATATATACTCAAGTGAAAATACAATAAAATCACCATTTACATTAGATTTAAATCAAACCTCCCTTACAGTTGCGATAAACTTAATCCACTTACTCTATTTTTTCTCAAATTTGTCTTGTTGCAGTTAGATTTGAAATGTTATTCTCTCTCGCTTGAAGATATCATACATGACAGATATCAAACCACTCATTGAGTATTTGGGGGCTGAGCCACTTCATATTAATGGATTTCCTGGCTGCTGCGCTCATAAACAAACATTTAGTTTTATATTTCACATTATCACCTAGAAGGAAACCTAGGTACAGCTGAAATGGTCCGTCCACACGGAACACCTTTTTTAAAATTCTATTCATGATAGTACAATCAAAGGGCATGCCCAAAATATGTGGTAATGGTTTGCTTCTTGTACTCCACATTGCCTCCAACAGGTTGCTGGATGAAAGTTGGAGTGGTTATAAAAGATTTAAAGATTAAGTTATTATAGCTGTGAAAATTTGTAAAATATCCCTCTGGACTTATTGGAATAAGTAGGTTACGAATGTTGTTTGGGCATGTATTTTATTAAACTTGATTAAATTAGTTCAAATGGGTTGTCAGTTTTTAAAGCAATTTCTACTAATTATCCATCCATCCATCCATTGTCCACCGCTTATCCGGGTAATTTCTACTAATTACTTTTCATTTAACTGCTAAGAACATCATGCCTTTTCCTCCATTTTTGCCAAGCCACCTGGAAAAGGGAGTCAGAAAATGATACGTTTGGTAAAAGTGCACCGGGCTGAAGAAGAAAACTACTGCCAGAAAACGCACAAAACTTTCTTGGGTTTACTTTGAACTGTGTTAAAAGTTAGATATTTAAATTGTAATTTAAAAAATATATATTTTTACCTTTTTTTTTTTGTGTAAATGATTTATTTGCCAATAGTAATGTGAGTATCAGTGACTTTGGAGACAATGGAGACCAAGGAAAGATTTAAGCTTGTGTTTCCAGTAACTGTCCCACCCTTTTGCATTTTGATGATGCTCTATGTTTTTACCTTCTGGTTGGAGGAAAAAAACTGACCTGCATTGTTCCTTCGTCTAGGAGCGACGAAGAAGCCGTCCAGAAGAACAATGCCTTGAAGCAGGTCCGCGAGCTGCAGGCCCAGTTAGCAGAGCTGCAAGAGGATCTGGAAGCGGAGAAGATGTGTCGCAGCAAAGCTGAAAAGCTAAAGCGGGACCTGAGCGAGGAACTGGAAGCTCTGAAGACGGAGCTGGAGGACACATTAGACACCACAGCTGCCCAGCAGGAACTGAGGTGCTCATTCAAAGTTGTGCTTTCTGTGAGAGTATAGAGGTACTCCACCAGCTTTTATCAAATCAGAGCTGCTGGGAATGGTGAAGCAGACTTTAATTAAGTAAAATTTGCTTTCCCAGCTTGTTAATGACCATTCAGTTATATTCATCACTCACAGTTCAGCGGAAAGTTTCTAGAGATTTTTGTAATGTTTGAAAACACCATTTAATTGTGTTTTGCTTTTGTTTTTTTGTGTGAACTCCAGGTCCAAGCGAGAGCAGGAGGTGGCAGAGTTAAAGAAGGCCATGGAGGATGAGGCCAAAAACCACGAGGCTCAGATCCAGGATATGAGGCAGAGGCACGCCACAGCACTGGAGGAACTGTCCGAGCAGCTGGAGCAGGCCAAAAGGGTGTGTGGGTCCCGCTTGGTGGCATTGAGGGGCTTCTTTCTACATACTTGGCCTCCATGAGAAAAAAACTAATATCGCTCTTATTCTTCAGTTCAAGGCCAACCTGGAGAAGAACAAACAGTGTCTGGAAAGTGACAACAAAGAGCTCGTCTGTGACGTAAAGAGTCTGCAGCAGGCGAAGACAGAGTCAGAGTACAAGCGAAAGAAGCTGGAGGGACAGCTTCAGGAGTTCACGGCCAGGGCCACCGAGATGGAGCGGGCCAAGGGCGAGCTGACCGATCGCTCGCAAAAACTCCAGGTAGTGTACCTCCACTGACAAACTGCGACTTTTGATAAGCTAGTTCGAGAGAAAATGCCATGACCCCATTTCTCGTTTGTTAGACGGAGCTGGACAACGTCTCTGCTTTGCTAGAGGAAGCCGAGAAGAAGGGGGTGAAACTGGCCAAAGAAGTGGAGAACCTGAACAGCAAACTGCAAGACTCTGAGGTTTGACAGAAGATCCACTCTGATTTGTTTGTGTATCGTTAAGTTACAGGAAATAATCCTGGCAATAATCCTCAGTATCTGATTTCAGGGGAATACAGTTGGGCTGGGCAATAACAGTTTTGTCAGGTTATTTTTCAAAAAATCTGTTTTTATTTCTCTTGAATAAACGGCACAAATGAGCTTTCACAGTTCAGAGAGCGCTCAGCCCTCCCCCTAGCTAAATCCCACAGATAAATAACGTGGCATCTTAGGAGGGACGATCTCAAACCCGAAACAAATTACAGCATTAAATTTGATTAAAGGCTGTTGCTATTTGAGGTGGAAGACAGAGGCATGTTGCAGAGATGCACAAGACAGTGGCAGCCAACAGACTCCTTTTGAAGAACAGCTAGGGGAGTGTTTTCACGGTATCCTGTATGACCAGGCTGTGGGAAGTAAAGACAAATGTGGTAGTGATGCATATCCCAAACTTGTGAATCTGTTGCATTAGAGACATAAAGGTTGGAGTATCATCTCATGTAAAAGTTAGTAAATTAACTTTTGGAAAAAAATCTAGTTAAGTTTATGAGGGTCAGATTGCCTAAGATATTACTCCCTTCCCTTTAAAAAAAATTTTCTATTTATTTATTTTTTAATTGGACCTTATTTCTTGTCTGGCTCCTTTTTTTAGGAGTTGAGGCAAGAGGAGACGCGTCAGAAACTACACCTAAGTGCGCAGATCCGACAGCTGGAAGGGGAAAAGAACAACTTGATGGAGCAGCAAGAGGAGGAAGAAGAGGCCCGACGCGGCATGGAGAAGCAGCTGCAAACAGTGCAGGCTCAGGTACTGTCACATATCTGCGGGAGTTTCTGGAGGAAGAGTACAAAGGTACCAAAAGGAAGCTCCATGCTGGAGTGTCCAGCTGTTTTCCAGTTGTGAGCAGGTGCAGCGCAGCACGCAGACAGCTGTAACGCAGTCGTGCGGCAAATTAAAGGCGCCGTGAGGTGAAACTTTGGGTCAGTTCAAAACGTGTGATGCTAATGATCCAATTGTAAATCTGGATGCGTGTAGCCTTCTGTTTGCCAACCCGCAATGAAGTCTTAATGGTAAAAACATTAACTATAAAATAGAAGACACTATGCAGACTGTTTCAACATGTTTACCGTGTGCATCTGACATACCCACTTCCTTTGTGAAAATCATTAGTCGCTGTCAATAAGCCTCCTAATGAAATGAAAGAACATCAGGATCATTAATCAGGCTATAAAACAAATTACTTCAGATTTTTTTTTTTTTCTTAATCTAAAATGTCCCTATTTTAGCTGTTTGAAACAAAGAAAAAGCTGGAAGATGATGTCGGAGTGATAGAGGGTCTGGAGGAGGTGAAGAGAAAACTCCAGAAGGACATGGAACTAACCATCCAGCATTTGGAGGAGAAGACCATGGCCATGGACAAGATGGAGAAGACCAAGAACAGACTGCAGCAGGAGCTGGATGACCAGATGGTGGAGCTGGACCACCAGAGACAGACTGTTTGCAACTTGGAAAAGAAGCAGAAAAAGTTTGATCAGGTACAGCGGGTCACCCGCCAGAGTCTCAGAAATGTCCAGGCAAGGTCACAATCTGTCGGTGTGGTAAAGCTGTCGGTGTGGTAAAGCTGTCGCTTTGTGTTTTTCGGTCAGATGCTGGCCGAAGAGAAGACCGTCTCAGCCCGCTACGCCGAGGAACGCGACCGCGCTGAGGCTGAAGCCAGAGAAAAGGAGACCAAGGCTCTGTCTTTGGCCAGAGCTCTGGAGGAAGCCTTGGAGGCCAAAGAGGAGCTGGAGAGGTTCAACAAGCAGCTCCGTGCTGAAATGGAGGACCTGATGAGCTCTAAGGATGACGTTGGAAAGAATGTGAGTGCTCTGGATCGTTTTGATTAACCTGCTTATAAAATCGTATAATCAACGAACATAAAGATGTAATTAGATTAAACCTATGGGGATCTGAATTTACAAATGAGGTGTGGTTTACTCTGATTCGCCTGATCAAACGGCAGGAAATGGTGCAAACATTAACAACATTCTCTCTGCTCTGCTTTTCCCTCTGTAGTCGTTATACTTAGCTATCCCTTGTGAGAGCAGCTTCTATTAAGTTAGATTTACTCTTGTCAAATTAATTAAAGCAGGTCCCACTTAGCTGTTTTGGGACATGCTGCTCTAGCTCTGATGGTGTAACATAAACAGATTTCGTTGATCACTTCACAGTAGAAGTATTTGATTTTTATTTGATCTTATGTACCTCTTTTTTAATGTGTAGGTCCATGAACTGGAGAAATCCAAACGCACCCTGGAGCAACAAGTAGGAGAGATGAGAACCCAACTTGAGGAGCTGGAGGATGAGTTGCAGGCCACTGAGGATGCCAAACTGCGTCTAGAGGTCAACATGCAGGCCATGAAGGCCCAGTTTGACAGAGACCTTCAAGCCAGAGACGAACAGGGAGAAGAGAAGAAGAGGGCACTAGTCAAACAGGTACGAAGGCGCCCATTGGATACACTGAAAGGATTCAGAACAGCCTATTTTTCAATGTCGATATTTGAACCGAGTTGCTTTGTCTTTTTCCTCTTCCAGGTAAGAGAGATGGAGGCCGAGCTGGAGGATGAAAGGAAGCAGAGAACACTGGCTGTTGCTGCAAAGAAGAAGATGGAAATGGACCTGAATGAGCTGGAGGGTCAGATTGAAGCTGCCAACAAAGGCAGGGATGAAGCCATCAAACAACTCAAAAAGCTCCAGGTAGACACCCACGTTTGTCACAAGAACAATTCCACTCCTTTTATTGAAGCTTAGTCCTCACTCAGTGCATTGCGAAAGCAAGGGCAACCTAAATTCCCTTTATGATCAATTTTTCTCCACCACAATAGCTGCAGTTTCCTGCTAAAGTCTGTAACTTCTTATGCATGATACTGTTACTCATGCAGGCCCAGATGAAGGACTACCAGAGAGAGTTAGAGGAGGCCAGAGCCTCCAGGGACGAGATCTTCACCCAGTCGAAGGAGAACGAGAAGAAGTTCAAGAGCTTAGAAGCTGAAATCTTGCAGCTTCATGAGGTGTGACCTATGCTTTGTAGTATTAGAAATAAAACCTTGATTTTTGTGAAAGAAAAAAAAAACAGAGAAGGCTGATTCAGCTGTGTGTGTCTGTGTAGGACTTTGCAGCGTCAGAGAGGTCAAGGCGACATGCTGAGCAGGAGAGAGACGAGCTGGCCGATGAGATTTCCAACAGTGCTGCCGGGAAGTCAGTATCTCTGTAGCCTCCTCATATTAGTAGAATGTTTGTAAAAAATTGTTCAGCGTTATAAACATGACAAACATCCATCCATCCATTATCGTAACCGCTTATTCCCTAATGGGGTTGCGGGGGGTACTGGAGCCTAACCCTGTAGTCAATGGGCGACTACTGGACAGTCCGCCAGTCCATTGCAGGGCCACACAGAGACACACAAGGACGAACAACCTCACACACTCACACTCACTTCTAAGGGCAATTTGGAATGTCCAGTCAACCTAAAATGCAAGTTTTTGGACGGTGGGAGGAAGCCGGAAAACCCGGAGAGAACCCACGCAGACACAGGGAGAACATGCAAACTCCACACTGAAAGGTGTGCTCTTCACACCTGAGCCGGTTCTACTGGGGACTCGAACCCAGAACCCTCTTGCTGTGAGTCGATGGTGCTAGCCACAACACAGCTGTGCCGCCTGCATAATAAATACATAAACTAATGAGCAAGCAATAAAGTATGTTCAGGCAGAGGTTTCATCAGATCTCCTGCATCAATGAAATGAAGGTTATTCCTGCTCATAGCAGCTATGTGTCTGCAATTCATTTATTTTTTTCTTGAATCAGCAAACCTGAGAGCTGAAAAAAGCACCAGTTGAATGGTAGTTGTCTCTTTCAGGCTTATGTTCAGTTTTTAAAGAAAAAGTTATGACACATGGAAAAAACAATATAGCCTAAACCACTAAAGAGTAGCTGCGTGCATTTATTCAAACACGTAGATTTGGAATAAGAGCTAACAGAAATCTGCGTTTTAGATCATCCCTTCTGGAGGAGAAGAGGAGGCTTGAGGCTCGTATCACCCAGCTGGAGGAGGAGCTGGAGGAGGAGCAAGGAAACATGGAGCTGCTGAATGACCGCTTCAGAAAGAGCAACATGCAGGTAGGCCGGGTCGCACGCCAGTTAATCCTAAACAACCACACCTGCAGCCATAGACTCACGGAGTCCAGCGACAAGTAGCAGACACAATTGATTTATGTGGCCCACTTTTTAAATGATGGGAATGTAAGCGCATGTGTTGACATGAAATTCTCTTCTCTTTCCATTTTTCTTCAGGTGGACAGCCTGAACACTGAGCTGGCCACAGAGCGCAGCACTGCACAAAAGAGCGAGAACGCTCGGCAGCAGATGGAGCGGCAGAACAAGGTCATCAGAGCATTTAAGTCTTCCGTACAGACAATCAGGGCTCATATTTATTAAACTGCTCACGCTAACATGTCATTGAAACTTACATTGAGCAGCTCTGATCATTGCACTTGGTTTTCTTTTATTATTTGCATTTCTTGCCTCCCTTCAAACCGCGTCCACTGATAAATTCCTCCTATTTTATACGGCTCTCACACACTGATTACATTGCGTGAAAGGGGAATGTTTGTGCTCAATTGCAGGAGTTGAAAGCCAAACTGGCAGAGCTGGAAGGGGCTGTAAAGTCCAAATTCAAGGCATCCATCACTGCCCTGGAGGCCAAGATCCTGCAGCTGGAGGAGCAACTCGAGCAGGAAGCCAAGTAAGCGCTCATTTTAAACGTTTGCACAAAACACTCCAGTGTAGAGTTGGCACACACAAAGAGTTAGACTCTTTCTTTGGTGAAACCTCCAGGGAGAGAGCAGGGGCCAACAAAGTTGTCCGGCGCACGGAAAAGAAGCTGAAGGAGGTGATGATGCAGGTGGAGGACGAGCGCCGCCATGCCGACCAGTACAAGGAGCAGGTAAAGGAAGGAGGGGCTTTTGGTTTCTGCTCCCCTTCTTTTTGCAGCTCGCTTAACCCCTCGCTGTGTCCGGCCTCTCCCAGATGGAGAAGGCAAACTCTCGAATGAAGCAGCTGAAGCGGCAGCTGGAGGAAGCGGAGGAGGAGGCCACCAGAGCCAACGCCTCCCGGAGGAAGCTGCAGAGGGAGCTGGACGATGCCACCGAGGCCAGCGAGGGTCTGACCCGGGAGGTCAACTCACTCAAGAACCGCCTCAGGTGTGAAGAGCATGCATTCGAGTTTTCCCCAGATACTTTACGCACTCGGCACCCCATGTTTTAGTGGTCAACCGGGGATCGACTAGGTTCCCGTCTTCATTTGACTTGCCTCTCTGTTCTGAACAGGCGTGGTGGCCCGGTCAGCAGCTTTTCTTCCAGCCGCTCGGGACGCCGCAACCTCAACCTGGACGGGGCCTCCGGCGACAACTCTGAGGAGGACGCCGACAGCCGCGCCGGCGACTTTAATGACACGCAGACCGCCAGTGCCGAGTAACCACCGCCGCCCCCTTTTCCTCTTCCACCGGCGTCAGAAGTCGGCAGCGTCTCCATCGGCCCCGTCTTTCATCCTTTTCACATTCCTGTCAGAAAATTGGACCAGTGAGCTGTTTTTTTGGTTTTTTTTGCAAATTTTTTTAATATCAGCTCACAATGCAGAAGAGCCCACCTTCCACTTCTGAAGAAAAGCATCTGCTCCCACATTCAGAGCAGCAGTTTGACAGTTCTGCCTTACTCTATCTTGTAGCCATCACCCAGCGTCATAATTTAACCCAGACCCCATTACCCGAAACACGATCAGCTCAGCCCAGCTTAACCAGAAAGTATACGTATGAACCCCGCGTCATATAAACTAGATAAAGATTGTGAAGTGTGCATACATCAGCTTTACTCTGTGGAAACGCAAGAATAGTTTTTCTTTCATTCTGGTGTTGTTGAAAGTCATGTCATAACTGACACACTCTGCCTCCCAGTGTTCGCACTGATTGTCCTTCTGAAATGGATACCAAGCCCCCACCCCCCCACCACCATGTTCAGCCTCTTCACTGCAACTAACTACTTGGGACTTGCAATAGAAAGGTATCGACTCTGAACTGGAAGTTTGTAACTGTGAAGAAAAAGGATTTATTGATTGTCTTTGATGCGTCGTCGCAATACTCAATGTAGGAATCTCTTGTTTGGTTTCTACCATGGTTCTCAAACCCTTGACCTTTTTGTATTGCCCTCCTGTGAGAGCACTATGACGTTTCATAGAAAGCTATGCCACTAAAGTGAATCGGCTTGAGCTGCAAAACGATGCATCGGTCCTGGAAAATGCACATAACTGCACAGAAAACGTATAAACCCAAAGCCAAGCGGAATAAAAACTTTTACTGGAAGCACTAAGGTGCACTCACTGTCAGCGTGACACTAAATGCATATGAAACACATATGCTCAATGTTTGTGCTCAGCCACTCTTTGTACTCTCGTTGAATTTATTCTTCTTTCGCAACCCTGCAACACTTTAATTGCTCAGAAGCATTTTCAAAATCCACAACTTTCTGTCCTCTGAGTGCCGATGTCAGTCACCAATTTGGAAAATTTCAAAATGTCACTATTTTATGCCAACATGGACCAGTAACAGGAAGAAAAATGTTCTGTTTTTTTGTTAGTTGTTGGGGTCACTTTTCAGTTTTAACTAGCAAACCTCTGTCATCAGCTCCTGCGGGTGCTTACATTGAATCGTGGGTAAAGTAGGCGCCTGTTTTTTGAGTTTTCAACCATTTGTTATGAAATTTAGTCGAGTTTGTTGTTTTTTTTTAATCCATGTTGGCTTAAGAGTTCAAAAGACTTGACAGAAAAATAAATAAACTAGATGGATCATGCTGGTCAGTGAAAAATGTCCATTGTCAGCAGATTTAAACCTCTATTTCTGTTCCTCGAATGTAATTTGTGCCATTAACGTTTGTTTTAAATCTGACTCTTCAGGCGTTCTCCAGCTTTTCTGGCAGGTTGACAGGTTGTGTTATCATCTTTCCACCCAGCAGTGGAGCGACGGTATGAAAATGACACTCTTCCACCTTTCAGCTCTACCTTGACTTTTCTGCTTTTCATTTCCTCTGGACATGATCGGCATCGTCAGATTCCTTTGCCCCACTTCTCAAATGTAAACTCTTAACAGTTTGCTTCTTTAAAAGTGCCTTAGACACTAATAAGAGCATAAGTGGGCAAAGATTTCATGGCAGATGTAGGAAGAAAGAAAAAAAGAAAACCGGGAGATAACAGGTACATCAATAAAATATTCAACACTTAATCTTTTCCTTCTTTTGTATTCTTGCTCTGTATCATATCCACTGTGTACCGCTGGTTAGAATAACCTTTTTGCTGGAGTGTTTGGGTCGGAGTCAGTATTACGGTATAATAATTAAATAACTTAAGAGCTCCTTTCCCCCAAAGTCTTTGATTTTGTCCTGTGAGCACTCAGGTAAAGGCTTGGTACTCCACCATTCTGGGGATTTGAGGCATTGCACTGACCATTTGGTTGGAAGCTTTAACATCAACATGCAGTTAACTCAAGTTTTCTTTGTATTATCGTTCTTATTCAGCTGGCTGTTGACAGCCAGCCGTTCAACTGCAAATTTTCCCATTATAATTCTTCTTGTATACCTGTATTTCTAGACAGTGTTTCCCCCCCCCGCCCCTTCTTTTTCTTTCTGTTTGGTTTGTTTTTGTAAATGGAAAATAAAGCGTATTCATTGTAACTGTGATGGCGTTTTGGTTTTGGAGCTCGTCCAAAGCTGTGGCTTTGTAGTCGTTAAATATGCCAACAACAACAAATATGACAGTAAACTCAGTGAAAAGGTGTTTAAATGAAACCGTGGATGCAGCAAACATGGAGAGCTCCTTAAGAATTTGTTGAAGGGATGATTTTCACCTCTGGAATACAAATTCACAGACAGCGCCATACTAACTACAAGCGCTGAAACAAATTTACATGAAATAAAAATAATAATAAATCGAGAAATATATTGACATTTTTGGCTGAGGGGGACGCAGCTTCTCTCTGCTGAAAAAGTATTGTTTATCCCCAAATGTTACATTTTTGCCTCAAGTAAGAATTAACCACAGAATTTGTGAAGCACCCAATTTTTGCCGATATTTGAGTAGTAGTTGAGAATGACCTGATTTTGTGTGTGTGTGTGTGTGTGTGTGTGTGTGTGTGTGTGTGTGTGTGT